GTAGTTGTAGCGACAATAAAAAAACATATATTCTGTGCAAAATTCAATTGTCTACCTACCACGGTAAATGCGATACTCGCTGACAGACAGACAGAGGGAAAGCAGGGGCATCATAACACGGTTTCGTTGGAACCTTTTGATTATGGAACCCTAAAAATGGTGTTTATTCTTTTGTAAAAGCGTATTCGTCAATAAAAGCTAAAATGTGATGATTTAATCGTTTTTTTGCGTTATGTGCGGAGTACAATCCACTAGTGACATCGGAGAAAAAATTTACAATGCATATTTTCCTTGAGACATGAAGTGTTATGTTGTCTAATTTATCGCGGTTAGAATAAAATAAAACCAAAGTAAACCTATTCACGCTTTAACTTTTAATTTTGTAATAGGGTACATCAGAAACTCACATTTATGTTTAAAAAATCACGACGAAGCAATGCCAAAAAAGAATCCTCCGGTAAACCCTGCCGAATAATATGAATTATTTTTGACAAATAGCAATACCTGTAACAAATAAACTATGGTTGAAATATATTTTGTTAGTAGGTGTGGATACTTTACTACGAGTCAAGATCTCTTACAAAATAACTATTATACGATGCCCGGATGTAACTTTACAACCGTGAAATAACGCTAAATTATCATTTTAAAGCTAGTAATTTTGTATTTGAATTAATCGCGATAATCTAAAGAACTAACAAAACTTAAAAAACATTGAAATATTTCCAAGGTTAACACAAATATTATGATTCTAATAAAGATTACAAGTTGTGTAAGAATTTAATGGCGTTAAGTTATAGTAGAAGAATAGAACGTAGTTTTTTAAACCGCCCTAGGCCAACAAGCACAGTTAGTAACAACAGCTTTGGGCATAAACCACATATACATAATCCTTAATAGCATATACCATGCCTGGCCAAATTGAAGCTTTGAACGACTTGAACGGACGGGAACGGTGGTTTTCGAGTACGACGAAGAAAATAACTAGCGCGGCCAGCCAGATCTCTCTCTTTTTAGATTCCTTAGAAGGATGTGGACAAGTTCTAACTTAATCTCGGTCACCCGTCTGATGCTTAATTATGATTAGATTGGAACAGGAATGAAATTAAAGGAAACCCATACGGATGGTGGTGACGGTACGTGAGTTCATCACTCTTTCATCAGGGGATTGGTAAAGCGTTCAGTAAGGGGCCAATCTTTACGCTCTACGCGCGCCGCGCCGAACGCGGTCTTCGTCGACGATCGAGTTGGTGTAAAATAAAGTCGTACTAGGCCCCCTGGTCAAAAAACGAAGATATAATCTTTTGGGAGCGGTGGTTTGCTTCCTGCAGCAGGAACCAAACCATTAAATGTTTTGCTCTACAATTACCTGTTTTGAACATTGTTTATTGTTAAACATATCATTAGACAATGAGGCTTGACAACCTTTACATTTTTTTACATTATTGTCAAAGATTGGTTGTTAATTTAAAAAAAAACGTAAATTACTACCAGATAGATGGAAAACTCTTTATTCGTATGTCATTGTAAGGGAGCAAACTACTCACGACAACATCACTGCAAAGAGGAAGAAAACTTGACACAAAGCCTTTTTTTTTTTAACGTGTGGAAATCCCCTCGGACCGTCACCCCACCGGGGTTTGCGGCGGGGTGGTGTGTCGGACTCGGACAGACTAAAACCACACGGTGTGCCACTCTGCGCCTGTAATAGGAGGGATCCGGGAACAGCTGTTATTAAGACATCCGGACCCCTCCTAGCGCCTGCCCGCTCCTGGTGCGGGCTCCGTCTCAAAATTTTCCTCTCTTTAGGCGACGTCCGGCACACGCGGACGCCGCCCCCTCGCGGCTGGCCAAGCTAATGCGGGTGGAGGGGAAACCCACCCCGTCCACCCGCGGCCACACTCAGGGCGGCATGAGGCGGTGATAGGCGCGCCTCCGCAGCAGGAGAGGCCGTAGCGGAGCAGGAGATCCGCGATCTCCTCCTCCGCTACGGCCTCGCCGTCCACTCGTACATTCCTGTACGACTCCGCGTTTGAGAACGCGGAGCCTGACGGGGTCGAGACCGAGGCCGGTTTGCGTGCCCTCCCTCGGCGGCTGCTTGCCACCTTTGGTGGCATCATCTCCTGGGACGTATCCGTTTCCTCGTCCCTGGAGCGTCCGCGTTTCCGGCTGTCGCTTCGCTCCGCCTCCGTGGCCTCCGCGCCATCCGACGAAACGGCGGATCCGGAACGCAGCCGATCTGATGCTCTTCGGCTCCCAGAGACCAGCGTTAGACTGACTTCTGGGAGCCCCACCGAGATAGGCGTTCCCGACGCCACCTCACCCTCAGTGGACGACCCATCCACTCCACTGTTCCTCTTCTCCTTTGTACCCTTCGTTTCAGTGTCCGTTTTGCTTGCCTTTATTCGTTGTATATTTGTTTCCGATCGTTTCTTAATATTTTTTGAAGATTGCATAATTGATCCCACGAGTGGGGGAGAACTAAAGGTCCACCCGGGCAGAGATCCCCCATTACCCGGGCAAGCGTAAGTTTTTAACCCAACCGAGGGGTCCGCAGGTACCTCGGCTTGGAGTGCGCTCGAGACTGAACTTCCCATCAGCCATGCATCCCCTGGCCACGCACCAGAACACGGGATTCGGGGAATTTTTTAGAGAGGTTATCTTCCTCGCGGTCCGGGCGGTTAAGCCAAGACCCTCGCCCCCGATCAGAGCCGCGAGACTTAACCACAGCGCTCTCCTCGGGATTACGATATGCCGACGGTTGACAGGGAGACTACGTCCCCCTGCCTGCTCGGTGGTAGTGTCAGTACACGCCGAGCCCGTCCTCCTTTCTCCACCGCTGTCAGCGGAGAAACTGTGGCCCCTACAGGGCCCCGCCATCCGGTTTTTTACCGAGGTTTCCTCCTCCATGCTCCGAAGAGCGAAGAGCCAGCAGGGCAACCGGCAGACACGCCCACCCTGCTGGACCAGGCCTTGCCCGAGAGCCGATGAACGGCTACCTCTTCTGCTAGAATATTAGCCGCTGGCGATAATCCTCTCCTCCAAGAGGACAAGGAGGAAACAGTACCATCGCCAGCGTTTCCAGGGTGCACCACGGGGAGGTTTTCTAGCCTAGCACCCCATAGCCTATACCAACCAGTCTGACCAGCATGGTATAGTAGGCTAAATCCTCCTTTCTAAGGAGAGGCCTATGTACAATATAATGTAATAAATTTGTTGCAGATGCAGACCTAAAAGGGGCATAAATATGATAATTATATGTTTAAAAATGAGGTAAGAATATTTAATACCTTACATATTAAAATCGTGTGCACACTAGTTATTTATGTGTATTATTTATCATTAATAAATCTCATTAAAATTAATAATTAACAGCATATTGGAGCTATAATTGGATAACAAAACATTTAAGATTAATGTGTACATAATAAATATGGCAATCTGCCCAAAATTAGGGTTTAACGTAAAAGGATTTACCTAGCATGAAAGGTAATATCTAAACGCTAAAAACAAGTTCTCGAACACTCCAATGTTGTCAACAGTACACGGATGTTGCACTACACCGCAAAATTATCATTACACATTGGGATTTAATGGTTTTTTTTTTATATTAATTTATAATTTTATCATTATCATCAACAGCCTTTACTAGTCCACTGCTGGACATAGGCCTCTCCTTAGGAAGGAGGTTTAATTTTATCTATATATATATATATAAGAGATTTCCACGTATATAGTAACTCATCACGATATCTCTGGAACCATTAGAGCTAAAGACTTGAAATTTGGTAGGAATATTCTTTTCACCGAGTAGAGGTCAGCTACGAACGGATTTTACGAAATTAAAAAAAAATAATAATAATAATGTAAATAGCAAAACAATGTTTGCAGGGTCAGCTAGTATTTCATAAAAATTATATTTTCAGCCATAACTGAAAAATAACTTCATAAAATCAACTTTTCATAAATCTATCAGACATAGCTTACCATAAAAATAACTTTCTAAAGAGATTACTGTTTACCTAAATTAAAAATATTGTTTTTAATTCACAAAAATTAAAAATAAATTGTATTGTATCTATTATGGCTGCCTATTTCATTGCCCTAACAAGGAATCTTTATCTGTATTTTTTTTGAAGCCAAGTGTGGCTTTGGAAGCGTCCCCTCAAAGATAAACTGCTGCCTATTTAGGTTTAAAATGTAACCAAATATGAAATATAAAGAAAAATACTACTTTATTTAATTAACTACTTAGATGAAATTAATATATATTTCTCTGTTTTTTTTTCTACAGACAACTTCCGCATTAGGAATAAATGTTTACTTATAACAGGTAGGATAACCTATTGAACAATACAGTCTTGGACTATTTTTTTATCAACTAGGCAGGGACTCTGTGGCATCTTTAGAGATAAGAATCACTTATAATATTTTGATTTTAATCTTTGTGAAAAAAAAGTAACATTTTTCCAAATTATAGCCATGACATTATCACCAAATATAATAAAACCCAATCAGTTTTGATCAAAATTTTCAAAATTGATTTTTTTTGGGACTAAAATAAGATCAGGATTCTGCATCAAATCACTGGCTACTACCACGCATTGTCTCTGTTAGCACAGACTTTTATACATCTGTCTGTATTGGATACTAAGATAGTTTATGTTTTTTGCTTGTTACTGAACTTTTAATTATTCCTATACATAAATTCTATGATATTATATGGCATCCAAAATTAAATTTTGTTTCATGTAGTTTTTGAATTTGACATAGTGTCCTGCAGAAAAGTAGTGATAAATTCAGTAGGCTTTTTCAAAGTTATCATTACTTATCTTGGTTCTATTTAGCATTAGGGTATCAACTTCTTCCAATAGGAAGAATGGGCCATCTTTTTAGAAAATAATCACTAACTTATATTTCTTTTTGTTTCAGTTTTTTACTGGGTACAGCTTAGAAGTGGTCAGATTTCACTATGGCCAACAAACAAATTAAAACGTTACCTTTTCAAACCAGTCGGGAGAACGTCCTGTAGCTTCTTTCTCAATTTTGTCACTGATTTTGTCCACCTTTTTGTTGATTTTATCCCAATTTATATCAATATATCCTTTTTGACTTGCAATATGTAGTAGTATGACACTTCCACCTAAGCCAACTGCTGCAACTCTGCCAATTTTCATAGAAATAAATCCTGTAATCCTGAAAATTTAGTTATTACTTAAACAAAGAAGGAATTACATAGATGAAGAAATGATTAGATCACTATTTAACAATACAATCATGAGTCATTTTTAACTCTGGCTTACTATGAAATCCTTACTGCGCAAATACATTAGTAATCATTTTATATAAAAATAAGGATCCAAATATATCATAGGTGCCCTAAATAATAAGTAACACTTACCATCCTGATGCAGTTCCTAAAATTAACTGCTTTGTTGCCGAAGTCTTGCCTATATCACCTATAGCTTTCTCTATAAAGTTTTTCGCATCATCCACAATTTTTTTCGCATCTTCTGAAGCATCATCAACCCCTGGCCTAGCCATGGTGGAATGGAATATGGAGTTAGAAAATTTCCCACAAGTCACTCACACAACACAAACGACAACGACAAGTGTTACAAATAAATATAGATCGTGATTATTCGTGATCACAGATTCATAGACAGGGATAGGCCTAGGCCCATAGAGGTTTCAGTGTTACCAGACAGAGTCGGTAAACAGAAGTAGAAAATGCACAAAAAGTAAAAAACGATACGAATCTACGTCATTGATTGGAAAGGTATTTTGAAGAAAAAGAATATTTAAACTTACTTCAAAAAATCCAAATCAAATCTTGTATAGGTAATCATAAAGATATAAGTAGGGCCTGTCTACCTTTTGTAAAGTTTTCGACTGCTTCTTTCAAATTTGGTTTGACAGCACTGTCTTAAGTTGTATTCAAGCTGAAATGCCAAAATCAGCTGTCTTTGGATGTAGACCAATATTTTAGTGTGCGGTACAATACTTAACGCGGAATGTATAAAAAAGTAACGATTTAGATTTGATAATAAATAAGAAAATTTTATTAGAAAGGTAGACCATTAGATTAGATTTATTGCTGCATGTTTTAAAACAAGTTTCTCATTTATAAACATCATTTATGTACATTTTAAAATAGTATCATAAATAATATACCAATAAATTGATCATTTTTAGGATTGATTTATAACTATCATGTCTATTGCCCGTTTTGGAATTTTTAACCAGACTCAAAGAGTAAAACAGCAGTTATTTTCTTCATTCCATAGAAATAAAAGCAGTCTAGGATTATGGGTGAGATCTCTTTTTTGTTTTATGTGCTACTTCTGAAGGAGAGTGTGTCAACCAATTGTTTAATTCCCCTTTTGTTTAGGATGAAGATGTTAACACTGACATCAAAAAGAAAATTGAAAAGCACTGGACTAATGAGGTTGTAATTAAAACAAGTAATAATCAGCAAAGGTCTTGTTATATTTTGCCTATGTTTCCATATCCGTCGGGCAACCTACACATGGGCCATGTCAGAGTGTACTCAATATCTGATACTATAACAAGATTTCAACACTTAAATGGAATAGAGGTTATACATCCCATAGGGTGGGATGCATTTGGCCTGCCGGCAGAAAATGCAGCCTTAGAAAGAAATGTTCCACCTGATACATGGACAAAAACCAATATAAGTTCAATGAAAACTCAACTTCAGCAGCTTGGTTTTAATTTTAATTGGGAAAGAGAAATTTCAACGTGTGACCCCAGATATTACAAATGGACCCAATATATTTTCTTGAAATTATTTGAGAATGGATTAGCATACCAAAATAAGGTAATAAAGGATATTTTTATATTGTCATGAGGCAATACTTATTGCAATTACTTTAATTGAGTCAGTGGCGGATTTGCAGTCATGGCTGCCCTAGGCCCCAGGCCATGAAGTAAGTACTAGTGGCTCCTTTTGCAGCACCCATCATAAAGACTACATAATGATTTAGTTTATTGCTGACTTTTTTAGAAACGAAAGTTTGTAATATTTGCCAAGGTTTGAAGGATATGTATAAGGATGCATAAATATAGATTGCATGTTTAAATAAAATATTGTTATAAGATAGCCCTCAGCAATTTGAAATATCAATTCCTAATTCAGTTAAATTGGAGCTTACAGCATTTGTCATTTGTTGATTTGCGGCCTGTGTTTGGAATAAACTCAAGGAAACATTCTACAGGTGATCCATTAGGCAGGATGTAAGTGAGTTGGTCTTTTTTTTAGTGACTTGGTAGAAAATTCCTTCAGATTGGCTTCTTGGGATGCAGAAGCCAGCATGTATTATTTCCACTAAAAACCACCCCGACGACCGGCCTTAAGCGCCCTACTCTGGGAGGGGCCCGGCCTATGTGATTGCCGGTCCTCCCTGAATCGACACCACGCCTAATCAGGCCTTAGGCCAGGTACACGGCCCTGCCCCCTAGCTACCCAGGCTTCGATGTTAGGTAGAACGGCAGCGACAAGGCGTTCCGTGGCTGTTCCAGTCGCGCGCCACTGCATCAGTGCCTGTCGATGAGCCGCCCGCCACTTTTCGAGCCCGTCCTGGACCTCCCCGCTCTCATCCCGGGAAGAGTGCCAGGACTGTCGCTGCCGTATTATCACGCATTCCCGTAGGCAACAGCTTCTGTAGGGAGCCCGCCACCCTCCGAATTCGGGAGTAATCGAGCTGGTCTGTTGAGAAAAGTCAATGATCAGAGAAAAATATTTCGACGTTTGTTCTATATTCTAAATAAAGTAAATCACATATATACAAAATAACTTACACGTACATCGTATTCTATTATGCATTACATTATACATATTTTATGTCAAATATCTATATTTTATACATACGATGCGGTGCAATGCGGATCGCCATAATGTGTGCTATTCTTTAAAATAGTTAAGTACTCTGAGTTATTTCTTGTTATCATCAGTCAATTTTTTGTCACGATTCGTCGCCCGAGGCCCGGGTCTACTGAGCCTTAGGTGAAATCCGCCACTGAATTCAGTTAAGTACTATTTGTCTGATGTATCACTTTTTATTCTTACATTTGATGTGATTTATATTCTAAATAATGACCAAAAATCTCAATTTTTTAATCCAAGGGTCTTTTATATCTGGCAGTTATCCAATCAAAAGTTTTTTTTACTAATTTTAGATTTTCAAATATGGTATGTAGTCGGTGTGCCAGAGGTTTTCATTTCGAGTCTAAATGGAATTTAATGAAATCAAGCGGAAAAAGACAAGGATAAAAGAAAAATGAGAAAAGAAATCGTTTTTCATCGTTGATATTTGGGTATTAGATGGGTGTTGGTATTGTTAACAAAATGCACCCAGACTTGCTTTTATTTTGTCAGCACTTTTTTCGTTGTTTTTATAATAAAAATATCTCTTAGACGGCCGTCTGATTCCGAACTTGGCAGAACCTGTACTATGGTAATCAGACTGCTGATAAACATACTTATATATTTCTAAATACATACATATTACAAAATAAATTACACCCAGACACAGAACAAATGACCATGCTCATCAGACAATATTTGTCCTGGGTGGGAATCGAACCCACGACTTCTAGCTTAGCAGTCAGGGTCACTAACCACTAGACCAACAGGCCCGTCAATATATATATTTATAATTATACTTCTATTCAGGCACAAGTAAACTGGGACCCGGTAGATAAAACAGTTTTGGCAGATGAACAAGTAGATGATCTTGGTTGTTCTTGGAGATCTGGAGCTAAGGTTGAAAAGAAATATCTCACTCAGTGGTTCATTAAAACTACGAAGTTAGCTAAAGATTTATATGAAGGTCTAGATAGCCAAGAATTGGAAAACTGGAAAGATATAATCAATTTACAAAAACACTGGATAGGGGAATGCAATGGAATTGTGGTAACTTTTACAATGAAAATAAATGATCAGATTAAATGCTTTGATGTGTGGTCACCAGACCCATACAAATTCATTCATGGTGATTTCTTACTAATGCATCCAAGTCATGCCCTGCTCCAGGAGATAAAAGATAGAAATATAAAAAATATGAACTGCTATAATCCCATATCAGAAACTACTATACCAATTTACATAAGTGATGATGTAAATTATGCTGAAGGCAGAGATGTCTCAATTGTTTGTGCAATGTTGGATGAGGAGGACTATAAAATAGCAACAACCTTATATATATCTACTTCGGCTGTAAAAGCTCATCGGTTAAATATAGAACATGAAAATAAAAAAGCAATTGATATAGCCAGGAGTAAAAATGTAGGAGGGTACTTTGTTAGTTCCAAATTAAAAGACTGGCTTATATCTAGACAAAGATATTGGGGAACACCAATACCAATAATTCATTGTGATAAATGTGGTGCAGTTCCTGTACCTTACCAAGATCTTCCAGTGAAACTCCCAGAAATAAATTCAGTTTTACCTGGGATACAAACTTTAGATAAAATACATGATTGGGTAAAATGCAAATGTCCTAAATGTTTCTCTATTGCCAAGAGGGAAACTGATACTATGGACACATTTGTGGATTCTTCATGGTACTACTACCGCTTTTTGGATCCTACTAATAAATGTGTTCCTTTTTGCAAGGAGGCTGTTGAAAACTGTGTGCCAGTAGATATATATGTGGGTGGTAAGGAACATGCTGTACTACATTTATATTATGCCAGGTTTATGAGTTACTTTTTGCATTCCCTTGGATGGACTCCTAGTCAAGAACCATTTAAGAAACTTATTGTGCAGGGTATGGTTATGGGGCAGTCCTATAAAGTAAAGTCTACAGGAAAATATATACCACCAGAAGAAGTGGAGCAATTTGATAAAATATATAAGGAGAAGAATAGTGGTGAGCCAGTAATAGCACAGTGGGAGAAAATGAGCAAATCGAAATATAATGGCGAAAACCCAAACAGATTACTGACAACCTATGGATGTGACACTACACGACTAATGATCCTTGCAGATGTCCCACCAGCTACACCTAGGCGCTGGTCCGATGCTAGTAAGTATATTTATGTTTTAAATTATTATAATATTACTAGCGATACGCCTCGGCTTCATTTTAAATAACTGATATCTACTAAGATATTCACTTTAATAATATGCTGTGAAAGACAATTTTGATCTACATTAAATGCGCAACGTATCTAACGTATTAATATGGATTATACTGTATCGTTCAAAATAGCTTCGTATATTACCCATTATTTTTTGTAATATGTAAAAGCTTAAAAGGGTTACTGTGAGTTATCTTAAGGACATATATCATCACGGACTTTTTTGTAGATCTTTTTAAGTTAAACAATTGCGTAGTACATTGTTTTAATCTATAAATTAATTATCTAAGGTTTAGCCAGCGTTTGCAATGTTAGCGCACAAAAACATGTTTTATACGATATCACATGACAAATCTTTGACGGATTTTCTATTCTTTAATATGCATGAATTATACACATAAACCTTTCTCTTAAATCATTCTCACTTCTAGTAAAAACCGTATTAAAATCGATCTAGCAATAGAGCGTACAAGAAGCGCCTTCATTTTATATTACCCAAAGATGATCATATTCAGAACCTAAAATTACTTTTTAACGATTTGCCAGGATTTTAAGGATTGATCAGGTAATAATGTTTTCTAAGAAGCTTATATACTTTGTAGAATATTACTATTTTGTACTTCTTAAATAAATCCTATTGAAGTTAAAGTATATAAAAATAATAATTGTTACAGCTTTACCAGGAGTGCTGAACTGGCAACATCGCCTATGGATGACTATACGAGAATTTTTAAAACATAGACAAAATATGGCTACAAAAAATACTTTAAATTCTGATGAGTTTGAAAAGCATGAAGCCAAGATTTGGGATTCAAGAAATTTTTTAACTGCAACTACAACCTTTCATTTTAAATACACCCTAAAACTTAGTGTAGGCATTTCTAGGCTTCAGAGTTTAACCAGTGTTTTAAGGGTAAGCCTTATCTCATTAATAAAAAGATAAAACAATTTGCAGGTTTCTGTCAATAAGTGTCATCTCACATTGATACAGGTGACCCGAAAAAGATCCCAGTAGTAGTCTTGTACCAGGTCTATATCGTAAAAGAGCCTTAAAAAACTATTTGTCAAAAGAGGCAGTTATAGTCTATGCTTTCAATCTGCTGTTACACACCAAGGTTCTAAGTTTTGAAGAAAAGTGTTAATTTTCTATTTATTAATTTTACATTTTTATTATCATATTCGATTAATCAGCGCCGTCATATTAATTATTTATTATTCATATTTATATATATATATATGCTTAATTGAGCCACATCTACATACTTCTGCTACATATCTTGATATCTTTGCTCTTCAAATAATCTTCACCTTTTATGTCCCAGTCCTTCTTCAGCGTATTTTCTTTTACTGTTCAATCTGTCCTGCTCTGGAACGCCCTTACCACAGTATTTCAGGATGGCAAACAGTCGGCTTTCATTTAATTACAACACAATTACATTAGTAGGAATATAAAATTATATTTATATAATAAAGGTTTATATCTATGTATACTATATAATTATATATGTAACTTAAGGGCTACAGGCTGTTGAAGCCTTTAATATTTCACTATATCCAATAGAACTCTCCTTAGAAAGAAGATTTTCGCCTACTATACCACGCTTGCCAGACGGGTTGGTATAGGGTTTGTTTCAAGATTTCCGTCTCTTTGCCTTGCGGTTCTCCTGCGTAGTTTACTCTTGCGACACCCACTGGATGAATAGATATATAAAATATATATCCATATTTTTACTTGCTCTTCTATTCTATTCTTCACACAATACTCTCTGATGCACCTACTCTGACTCATTTCTGCATCACTTGAAGCTAGACTGGAAGAGAATGAAGACTTAATGCTAAAATCATTAAGTCCCCTTCTGTACACACAATGCATTAAGTAATAAAATAAATCAAGTCATCTCACTTTCGGTACCTATAAACTACTTCCCTACTAAACTCCTACTACACATAATAAGTTAATTAATTATAGACTTGCAAGAACTTAAGGGGTCCTTATTATATTAGCAAAATCCATTGGTATATAAAGTTCATGTAGGTTCACATAGATACAGGTTCAATGGCTTAAAAACAAATGTTAATAACATTTGAATGGTCACGTAAAGAGAATAATGGCATCCCAGACCGAACGACAGAAATTTGTAGTTCATCAGTAAGGTCGAAATTAAATAGACTTCGATTGTTAAACCTAATGATTTATTTTAAAATCATTTTTGGAATTGAGCTCGAGTCACGTCCCCTTCCCCGTCGCAAGTCGATCCCTGTTTAGAACAGATCTGCATAATCTTCTTTTGTATTAATTACAGAATGTACCACCAGAAGTTGTAGCCAGAAGCAAGGAGTTCCAAAAAGCTTTAGCTAGTCTCATAATTATGCTTTCACCTGTTATGCCCCATTTTGGTTCCGAATTGTGGGCTGGATTTCTGTCAGCGCCAAATAGGGTGTGTGATGAATCAAATTTAATTAAATGGGAGGAAAGTGTACTTGATCAGAGTTGGCCAATTGTAGACATGAATTATAAACTATCATTATTATGTAAGGTGAGTGCAATATTTACATACCACATGTTTATTTTTATCTATATTTCATCACAATAGAAATACCTAATGAATCCCAATTTTAGGAATCCACAATCACAACGATTCAGTTCAGTTTTATGCTGTACCAACAAACTGAAAAGCAAACTGAACAGAATATAGTAATTCAGAAATCATTCATACAAAAAGCCGTTATATATTGTTAGGAAGCTAAAAAAATATTTGAATACGCTGAGCACCGTTTAATTAGTTTCTTGTTTATATATTGCCCTTTTGAAAAACAATTAACAGTTCTCGGCTATTAGAAAAGTGAACACATACAAGATATATTGGGTCTGACCGTCGGACGTCGGACAAATACTTAGCTATTTTAATTTTCAGTTTTGACATAAGTAATGTAAAGTACGCACCAAATAAATCTGCGTCAACTTAGTTGGCTGCAAATCGAATCTTGCGCAGGTACCTACACTCGCAAACAAACGTACTGAGTATACAAATACATTTTATAAACTGCTTGCATTATTAGGCTACAAACACGCAGGCAATAATAAAATTCAATTTATTTAATTCAGTACTGTATAATGAAAATGTATATCTATCCGAAAGGTTAACGTGAATGTTTTAAATACTAAAGTGGCAAACAAGTAAAATACATATGACGCTTGGTAACAACTCTGGAATAGTTACACGAGCACATTATCAATAAATAGACACTTCTAAAATTAAGTTCAATATTTAGTCTATTACGGTGGCGACTAACTAAATTAATTTATCTGATGTAATTCTCAGTACATCGGAGTTTTAATAACAGCAGATAAAAAGGCAGGGAGGAACATTTTATTTTGCACAAGACGTTAGTAATATTAGAGCAAATTCTCATTTTACTAATTCTCATTTCATTCAATCAATTTTACTCATTTTACTACTAATAACAAACGCAAACAAAAGAGATAATAAACACAAAACAATATTAACTGAAACTATAACAATTATGTCCATAACAATACGTTAGAGCAAAAAGCAGAGCAGCCTTTGCAGCAGTGCAACTCGTCGGCGCCCACGGTCCCCCCCTCCCCCTCCCATCTCCCTCTCTGTCCCTTACGAAGGATATATCTAAAGTTGTTTTGCGGCGCCATGACGCAGAGTTATTTGGCTTAAGTTTTTGCTTTTTGAAAAATGTCTGTTACTGCTTTTTATGATTACAAACAAAGGTATTTTGTTTGAGTAATCAATCACAGAAAATCCTAAGTATATCTCCCAACTCCTAAAAAATATTTTACAATATTCTAGGTGGATGGAGCTGACAGGTGCGAACTTAAAATAGAAGCGAAAAATCTTCCCAATTTGCAACAAGATGACGCTTTACAAATGATGCTTAACGAAGAGGCAATTAAAAAAACAACTAAAAGAGGAATATACAAAACGAAATACGAACTGTATCCTGATTGTCGTGCTATATTACACATATTTACAAACCGCAAAGAGAAAGCTGTACAAGTAAAAGACAGTTTATAAGTATAGATTGTGTTGCCATTGTGAGTTTTGATGGGTATATTGTATGATAAGTTAGTAGTCTGTCATAAAAACAAAATTATTTGTGGCTTGTTCTAAGTTATATAAAATGATTATATTTATGCATAAAAAGGAACAGTTTTATTCTAAAAATTGTTAAGTAAATGACGTGTAATATAGATCACGAAGTGACAGTAAAGGATAAGATGCCATTAAATGTATTTAATGGCATCTTATCTTTTTTATTTATTTTTTTATTTTTTATTTATTTATCTTTATTGTTTACAGTTAACACATAAGACATTACAAATATATAGACGTAACAATCGGCGGTCTTATCGCTCACGGCGATCTCTTCCAGACAACCTTGATAGGGATATAAGTTATTTAAAAGTTGGGTAGATTACATACACGTAACGCATTATCACGTGAATATTTAAAATATAAACAAAAGCATTCATACACAAATGAACATCTGTTCACATTACACATAGATAAATACACATACATACACACATACGTAAACAAAATTTATAAATATACATATACATATTTATATATACATATTTAATAGACATACACACAACATATATATACAGACTAAAATATATACTATATATAATGAAACCAACAGTATTTAAAATGTCAGATATAAATCCTTCACTAGCTTTTTGAAAGCGGGCAAGGTTTTAGCTTGTCGGATTGTCAAAGGCAAGTTGTTCCAAAGTCTTACTGCTTGCACAGTAAAAGATTTGTCTGCAAACTGGGTGGAATGTTGCGGCATTTTTATTTTTAAATTCTCCGATGACCTGAGGTCCCTGCAATGTGTGTTGTCTAAGAACTGAAAACGTTCTTTGAGATAAGATTGTGTGCGGGGATGAAACAGAACACTGTATAACAGAGAAAGAATATGAAGATTCCGGCGAGATGTGATCATATTTGCGTAATCCAAATATGAATCTAATACATAGGTTTTGGAGTCGCACAAGTTTATTCAGTTGGTCTTCGGTGAGATCCAGATAGCTGACATCGCCATAGTCAAGGATAGGAAGAAGAAGAGATTGTGCGAGCGCAATTTTAGTATAGGTGGGAAGGAAGTTCCGTAGCCTTCGCAGAGATCCTGCCGCTGCAAATAGTTTGCGGTTAACCTCTCCAACCTGGGGGCACCAGGATAGGTACCTATCCATATAGATCTTATGTACCTACTGTCTATATTAAATACAAATCTTACGTTTAGAGTAAAAAAGCTTATACTAATAATAACTTTACACATCTCATATACCTTAGTCTGTTTCCAAACTAGGCAGAGCCTGTGCTGACGGAACCAAACTGCTCATAATCTTACTTAAACATTAGATATATATTATAGATAAATTAATAAAATAAGGAAATAATAAATAAATTATACCCATAGACGAGGAATAAATTATAGTGGTCATCACGCCATTTATTAGCCTAGGTGGGAATCGAACATATGGGCACGCCGTTATCGCGGCGGTAAGACCCGTTATGGAGAATTGGCTCGAGAGGCATCACGGGACCCTCTCATACCGGCTCACGCAGGTGATCACTGGAAAAGGATGCTTCAGGGATCACCTGTGTCTAATCCGCAAGGAACCAACGCCTGGGTGCCGCCACTGCGATGGGTGGAGCAAAGGCGTGACGTCGAGGCGGCCATCGGGGTGGGAGATCTTTCGCTCGGTAACATGATTGCGGCCATGGTGCGGAGCGAGAGTGCGTGGAACTCCGCCGCCTCCTACGAGCAGGTTATGCTTGCGAAGTAGATGGCGGAGCGAGACCGGGAGAGGTTCAGAACCTTCCCGGCTAGCCAGGCCCGAGAGGAGCGACCTCCGTCCTCCATAAGCGCAGGCCTGAGGGTGACAGGTGAGGCCATCTGTTACTCTAGCAGAAGCAGGCCGGGGTGGGTAATGGCGCGACGCGCTACGGAGCGCGCACGCCTTTCGGGGTAGGAAGGGAACATCCGGGTTCCCACACAGGAGGGGTCATTTGTAAGCCGTAGATTGCCCGTGGTACGTCGGGATACAAGGGCTTTTCTTCTAGGGTATACCTGGTTCCCCGGCTACTGGTACCTGGAGACGGCGTGCAGTTTTTGGTCGTTTCGAGTCCGATATAATCACCTACTGGTGGGTGGTATCCGAGGGGAGTTCCGCACAATAAAAAGAAAGGTGGGAATCGAACATACAACCTCTAGCGTAGTAGTCAATATCACTAACACTAGGCCAGTCAAAATAATAATAAACATAAAGTCAAAATATATATAGACCTATTTCTTAGCGATCCATGGATTTACCGTGCGGGTGCTACGTCCATCGCGTGATAGATGGGGGCAACACATGCGACTTCGACAGCGCCTAGGAATTGCGACCCAGGTATAGGTTTAGGGAGTACTCCTGGCGACGCGTCAGCGCTCACCTCCACTGTCTGCTATGTTACCCACTATACCTAACCATTCTTGATAGGAGCCTAGCATTACCGCTTTGGATATTCGTTCAAGAAAAGAGCTTACTGAAGCTCTTGCCAATTTCCCCACTCAACAATTTCCCCAGCTTACCAGGTTGACTTACCACCTTAATAGTATATCATTAATTGTTCCGAATATGTATGTATCTTGATTAGGCTTCCGTAATAATACCTACACATCTCTAATTATTTAAAAATCACTTATATTTCATATGAATTATTTAGTGTAATAGGATAATCATAAATGATTGCAAAATGGTAAAGCACAAGATCTCACAAAGCTAGACAGCTGTAGGAATAAAATAATAAATAATATTAAACCAAAATATCAGTTTATTCGTCACTAACGTCAATTTTCTAGTAACAAAGTATGTACATATTTTAAAAAGAAAATAAAGCTTAATATATTTAAGTAAGATTTTAAGATTATGTTATCTGCCGCTTCTAGCTTTTTTTCCTCTAAATATTTCATCTTTGTACGCTTTTAGATTTGCTGATGAGTCCTACAACAAAAAGAAATTGATGAGTTGTGTTTAATGTATACTATTGCAGAAAACATGCAAAATAGATGGTTTCAAACAGATCACTACTAGTCCTATTGAACCCGATATAGACTTTCCTGGCACTTAACATACAATACTTCCTGTTGTAAGTAGTACGAGTAGTAAGTTTGGTTTTCCTTTCAACCGTACTACTTTATTAGCACCTATGAACTTTAAAAAAAACTTACTGCATGTTTATTATTTTCGTATGAATTAAAATAATAAACCAGCTTTAAGTTTTTATCTCTTAATGATAAAAAAACGTATACATCTATTTACTCGAGTCCAAACCTACCTGTTTATGCATATAAAATTTTACAGTAGCTTTTTCTTTCGTTTTTTTCGCAAATACAACTGCCGCATTGTAATTAGTTTCTGTCTCGAGGCAGATTTAATGAACATTGAAGGAACGTTGACAGAGAGCAGCCAGATGGGGGGCAAGTATTTGCGGATCGCACATTGGAGCAAAAATTAGTGCAAAGGTGAACAAGTACTCATATTATACCTCGTAAGTCATTAGTATTACCTATGTAGGAAATACCTTAAAATAATAATATCCTATAGGCCCATGCAGACCAAATAAACGTTTCAATTTTTCGTTTAGATTTATTTTTTACCTTCATCGCTTCACGCCATTCTAAGTTGCGTAGACGGGCTAGCCCCTTTAAATTTCGATCCAATATTCTTAAAAATTCTGTTCTGGTTAACTTAGGTGTCTCAGTAGTTCCATTGTTAGATGGATCTGGAGCAGGGGTAATAGCCTGTAAATAGTACAGGTTAGTTACGATATTTATCGCTATATTATCAGAGTAGTCAGGTTCTTATAACAGTGTAATATCCTGCCGATTCGGCTATTAGCTACAATATACTTACATTCTCATCTACAAATTGTTTGGTAACCAAGTCAGTTATTTGGTTATAGGCACTTTTGGTGTCGTTGATTTGCTAAAAAGAAATAGGTATGTCAGTAATTATAAATATTATAAGTATCCTACATTAAATAAATCTATGAGCTGAAATATTACTAAACTTCGACAGGCCTCACATTTACAATTTACGACGAAGGCTATTTTATTTGTGCGTGTGAAAAACTCCAGATCTGTTACCCCACTGGGGCTTTCGATGGCGCAGTTGTCGGAATTGAACCGATTATAGCCACGATGTGCCATACGGCGCCTAAAACATGATGGACCCGGGAATGTGTCTCGAGACGCCCGTGGCAAATTGGATTCTATTTTCTCCGACCTCCTTTTCGTCACAACCTTACATCCACAGAATATCACAGGCATCCTCACAAAAGAATTCCACAGAGGTAAAACTTATGTCGCTAGGTACCGCCAATGGAGCTTATGATACAACCTGACAGTGTGAGATCCTTTACGATTACTGCAGCGAAGCTCGACGATGGGCAAACCCAAGTTCAGGCAGATCACTGCAATCGCAGTTGTGACATGCGAGATTCCCAGTTACCGTATTTCCGGCAATTATAATTAAAAAGGGAGTTAGTGGACAACTTTGAAGTTGAAAATTTAGTTTTGTAAAGTATTTTAAAATTATTTACATATCATTTGCTATTGATTAACCCTCATACGTCTTAATTCAACGATTTACACCTAATATAGTATAAAGTCCCTATCACACAAAAAAAAATATCTGTCGATAAGCGCCATAAAAATGCATTTAGTATTCGCACGTGATTTGACGAAAATGCTTCACGCAGCGGACCTCATATTACTCTGCGGTCATGACGTCAGTTAGCTGTGTAAGCAAATGCGATCAGTTGTTAGTTGCCACTGACTCATTAGTTTACACAGCTATATGACGTGTTAACATGGCGGCTACTATGTCATGGTGTTTGGAACTAGAAAATTTGAAGTGAATTTTAAAGTTGTTTTGGCCACACGAATGAAAGTTGTATATTTACAAGCCCACGCACACATAGGGCCGCGCGCACAACTGAGTTGAACTATCTATACCTACATTGTGATGGAAGGAAATTAAGATGTAATGCGTAGGGGGAAGTGGGGCAGATTCATACAAGGGGCACCGTCATACACTAGATACATCTGTTGTTAGGCGCACATCAACTGAACGACTTATCCGTGTACGCATACCTTACTTATGTGTGTATTGGCTCACGGAGTTTGACAACAGTCGGTGGGAAATTCGCGATGAGGTGACATGGAACGTGATTCGGCGACGATTAAGTAATTTTAAATCCTCACTTTAAACATCTTTTTTTTAATAAAAGCTTTTTTCTAGATTTTTCAGTACTATTTTATTCAAAAGGTAATAGGATCAAGTTTTTAAATTGATACGTGAATAATGATATTTATAGTTGATTGTTTTTTAGGAATATTTTTATTTCATTTTCTTGTGATGGGGTTGGTTCATACAGCAGTAAGCGGGGTACATTCATACTGTATGAATGTGCCCCACATTTTCATTTCTTCCAGATCCTAGAGAATATATACCGTAAACACAATTTAAATGCCGATCGGATTTTCAACAACGACGAATTTGGTATTTCTACTGTTCTGAGCACACCCAAAATTTTTGATGACAAGAGCCCAAAACAGGTTGGTCAAATAGTGTTTGCCGAAAGGGGAGAACTGGTCACATTTGGTGGTATTATTTCAGCAAGTGGAAACACCATACCGCCCTTATTCGTCTTCCCTCGAGTACATTTTAAGGACCACTTCATAGAAGATGCTCCAGAAGGCTCTTTAGGTGTAGCCACGAGAAGTGGTTGGATAAACTCGAGCATTTTTTTTGATGTTCTAAAGCACATTCAGAGACACACCATATGTTCGAAAAAAAATCCAATTTTCCTTTTATATGACAACCATGAAAGTCACATTTCTATTGATGCAATCAACTACTGACAATGGGATTGTGTGCCTTTCCTTTCCACCTCACACGACTCACCGCCTTCAAGCATTAGATGTTGGAGTATTTGGACCATTAAAGTCGAAATTAAAAACTGCTTTCAATGATGCATGGCACGTTTCCAATCCAGGAAAAACACTTAATATTTATAATCAAAGAAATCAAGAAAGACTGTTAGGTTAACTAACTTCCTTCAGTGTCATAAAAAGAAAAACTACCTAACATTTATGTTATTCTCTTTTTTACTTAGTATTATTTGGTTATTACTTAGTATTAGTTGCTCATATAGACTAATTGCTTTGGTTTTCGAGAACCTTGTGGTTTGATACTTTTATTTTGATGAATAATTAAACTTTTCATGCTAAACTTGTGTATTCTTTTTACATGTATGAATCTGCCCCATAGCCTGTATGAGAGTGCCCCGCATGTGGGGTACATTCATACATTTTAATTATTTTTCTAAAACTTTTATTAAAAGTCGCACATGTGTATTTACACAAATTACATGTTCTTGAAATAAAGTCAGATAGTTAAACTACTAGTTTTTGATGAATCGATACAGATATTGATACCAGAGTAAATTTTATAACACGAAATATAAAAACTGTATGAGGCTGCCCCACCTTCCCCTAGGTATGTCGTAATAAGAATGTTATAACCCAGATATAATTATGTTCTTAAAGGTATTATTTTATAGCGTAAGATAACTACCTAGTTAGGTAAATGAAAGAATTTGTTGTAGGTATTCTTTCTTTAATCTATGAAACGGATACGCATAACAACTACATTAGCAGAGCCCTCGGTGTACGTGTAAGTATGGCAATTATTATTTAATAAAATTTCATAATAATTTAAGAACATAATAATTAAAACAATTGAGTTAAAACTTAATGAAACTAAATAATAAGCTGTACTATTAGGTAAATAAATATCTAATCAAAAAAATGTAACGCTAAGTAGAAATAAACACCTTTACGTAGATTGGAGTACTTACCTAATTTTCATTGGCATTACTAAATATAGCGACGATGTTTTGTAAGTAGATATACACATAGGTAAGCGCAGGTTATATTTTTTAAGACAATTCCCGCATTAGGAATACACCTGTGTCGCGAGAGACTTAACAAACATACATGAAACAACAATAATTTGTGAATCACACAAAATGTTATCCCCTGTGGGGATCGAGGCCACAACAATCAGCGCAGTTGGAAGCGGCGAGACGTCCGCTTAAACCACTACGCCATCCGTACAGTCAATTTATGTATTTCGTATTCATCATCATCATTAAACAAGAGAAAATATATGACTTGGATAAACGTCTTCATATCATACTAATATTAATAATTATTATTAATTACTTACCTCTAATATAACATGGAAGATGGTTCCGAAAAACCCTCGTTCCGTCGGTTCTGCTACATTATTAACAGATTTGAACAGCAAATGCCTTGCTGCACGTTCTTTTTCTATAATATCATCGGCTGTTGGCTAAAAAAAGTATCATTAGAAAAGCATCTAACTAAATATTTAAGTAGGTACCTCAAACTATTCTAAAATATGTAAAGCACGAGTATGAGATATTTATGTTTCTGAATAAGTATACGTCCCAAACATAGGTAAATCTTATTATCTCATTATTGATAGTTTCGATCACATGCATATACCTATTGACAGATCGAAAAAAAGCTTTTGTAACGCAGAGTTCTGACATCATTGATATACCTGGTAAGTAACTACATTTGTGCCAGGGTTATCTTACCATATGTTAAAGTTTTTGGAATATTTCATCTGCCAATATTTATCTAGTGGGAACGGCGAGGTGACTGTTGTACCATTAAGTAGAAAATTATCTGCTTAAATCAAATGTACCTAGATGTGTATCAATTTAGAGTATATAGATAGAATATTTATTGTGGCGCATGGCGTAGTGATAATTTAGCCTCTTCTAAATAGGTACTTTTGAATAAAGTTCTTGCACTGTCTTCATCAAAGGGCCGTTTTGATTAGTTCTTTGGTCCAAAACTGCAGTGGGTCGTCGTCACACGTTTCGTTTTCCAATCTGTACTTAGAACTCGAGAACCTCTGTTCCTATTCCATATCTGTCATCGTTTCTTGGCATTGGTCCTTGCAAAAGTCATTAACAACAACAAAGACCAATGCGACAAGACCATTCTATATTAGTTATATTGGTCCTCAAAGTACTTTTTTATGCCAAATTATATCTCGTTGAAAAATATTCACCTTTTTGTAAAGGCTAAAATGTTACAAATTTAAGAGGTCTGAAATACAAATATATAAGTATAATATTTATTTAAATAATAGGTTGTGTTCTATAGAATTGTTCGATACTCGAGGATAACTTTAATATTCACAACAGGCCACATGCCATTAAGACTATTGTACATATATTGTTCGCTTCTTTACTGCGGTTTTTTCTAGATAGGCATCCAGGAGCAATAATGTCTTCTCAACTTTCGTAGCATAATTTTATCTACTTTAGTGGTATAAGAAAAATCTTTAAAAAGCTTTGTATTGTACATTACAGTGGTTTTGTTTTACTTTACACATAAGTATTTCATATTACGCATACCAGTGCGAAGCATCGACGAATTATGATTATGTTGAGGGTCATCTAAGGTTTCCACCATAGATACTACAAGCAGAGCAATTGCCATCATTGCTCTGCTTGTAGTAATAGAGCTAATTCTCGAACGATGAACATATTTAAAATTGGTGCAAATAAGGCGTTTTGGTAGGTAATAAGCGTCTCGCGAACCGTCGCCACTGTGTCGATTACCCATTGTAAGTTGACTACCAAAACAATACAATATGATAGCTTAATTAATATAAATAAATCAATTACTTCAAATCAGTCCATTCAATTAAACTACGAATCCAGTAGATTATGTCAACCGCATATCTAAGCCATGCAAGACCTTGACTACTTAAATGTAACAAGCTTGATTAGGAATTCATTTATTGTATATCGGTACTATTGTTAGTTAGTTATCTGTTTTTTGTTAATATATTGTAATATATTTTTTGATAACGGACAGCTATGGTGAAATCCTGCATATTTTGCCAAAATGTTGTTAATGCGATGGTTTAGTTATGTATAGGTACCTACACCTTAAACTGTTTGACCTCAGACTGACTCTAGCTTAGTGATGCGCAAAATGTATCACTGAGCTGAAAAGATTGATACATATCATTTCGCTCAAAAGATATAGATCACTCATCTAGCTCACTAGCTCATTTAGCTCACTAACTCGTTTAGCTCACTAGCTCATTGATCCGATTCAATTGATTGGTCTCTCAATTAATTCATTTCTTCATCTAGATCGTTTAGCTCAGTATACTCGTATATCACTCACTTCAAGCCTCTCTGGCCATACAAACCTTTCTTTATTTTCATATTAACCTAAATTCAGTTTTTGAAACCACATTTTTAACCAATTTTTTTAAAATACAATTTTATTAATTTTGATAAGATTACAAAATTATTAACACCTTTATATAATAATTAAAAATAAGAAATTATTTCTTGTACTTTTTTTTAGGTTGTATAATAGAAATCATACATAATTTGATTTTCCTTGTACTTGGCAGGCTTAATTCTTAAGTAATATTAAACTTTGATCCTTTATAGAAATAATGTACATTTAGCATAAAGAAACTTGCGTGAACTCAACCATCATCTATCCGATCATTTATCTTTAGTCTCACTCGCTCATGAAACAAAGATCGGCGTCGTTGAGCTAGTGAGCTAGTGATCTAGTGAGCTAGTACTGAGTTACTGATATATTCGGAGCAAGTGTAAGTGAGTGATACATTTTATCGTCGTGAATAATATATATCTTTTATATCACTCACTCAGGATCTACACAACTCTACTCTGGCTGACTGTCAGACTGACGTTACAATATTAACACAATTATAAAAGGAACATGATCACATTTTTAGACGATAATTTTTTTACTTAAAACATTTGATTTTGGTTGAGTTCTTGTGTTAATTCTACACGAAAGACTCCACGAAAAATATAATTATATTTCAATAAATAACCCGCTCCAGGCCCGTGCCTCTGGCCCTGGGGTAAATGCACCACTACGCCCGACATATTTCTTAGGCTTGATTAGGAATTCATTTATTGTATATCGGTACTATTGTTAGTTATTTATCTGTTTTTTGTTAATATATTGTAATATATTTTTTGATAACGGACAGCTATGGTGAAATCCTGCATATTTTCCCAAAATGTTGTTAATGCGATGGTTTAGTTATGTATAGGTACCTACACCTTAAACTGTTTGACCTCAGACTGACTCTGGCTTAGTGATGCGCAAAATGTATCACTGAGCTGAAAAGATTGATACATATCATTTCGCTCAAAAGATATAGATCACTCATCTAGCTCACTAGCTCGTTTAGCTCACTAACTCGTTTAGCTCACTAGCTCATTGATCCGATTCAATTGATTGGTCTCTCATTTTTAACCAATTTTTTTAAAATACAATTTTATTCATTTTGATAAGATTACAAAATTATTAACACCTTTATATAATAATTAAAAATAAGAAATTATTTCTTGTACTTTTTTTTAGGTTGTATAATAGAAATCATACATAATTTGATTTTCCTTGTACTTGGCAGGCTTAATTCTTAAGTAATATTAAACTTTGATCCTTTATAGAAATAATGTACATTTAGCATAAAGAAACTTGCGTGAACTCAACCATCATCTATCCGATCATTTATCTTTAGTCTCACTCGCTCATGAAACAAAGATCGGCGTCGTTGAGCTAGTGAGCTAGTGATCTAGTGAGCTAGTACTGAGTTACTGATATATTCGGAGCAAGTGTAAGTGAGTGATACATTTTATCGTCGTGAATAATATATATCTTTTATATCACTCACTCAGGATCTACACAACTCTACTCTGGCTGACTGTCAGACTGACGTTACAATATTAACACAATTATAAAAGGAACATGATCACATTTTTAGACGATAATTTTTTTTACTTAAAACATTTGATTTTGGTTGAGTTCTTGTGTTAATTCTACACGAAAGACTCCACGAAAAATATAATTATATTTCAATAAATAACCCGCTCCAGGCCCGTGCCTCTGGCCCTGGGGTAAATGCACCACTACGCCCGACATATTTCTTAGGCTTGTAGGTATGGCGTTCAGATATATGTAGCTACTAGCTAGTTAGCTACATACCGAAACCATGACGTTTATTTCCATAACAGATCGGTAGTTTATTATAATACAATAAAAATATACTAACAGGCTGAGCTCGCACATGAGGTGATACTATGGCGATGAATAAAAAATTTACTAGAAGATAGTATTGTATCCCATATGCCATTTCTTGTCTTATGTTCACTTCCTGGATTCCTCGTCATAGAACTGCACCTTCCCTATATAAAATAAACATAATATAAAATTAAAATGCCAACGGTGGTCATTAGAAGGTTCAATAATATAAACATTTAAGATTACTATGTTGTTCACGTAGTAAGACAACATTATATTATTTTGTAGATGTAAGGACATATTTGATCAAAATATAAAATATTGATATCCATCATACGTTATAGTTGTATTAAAATTGCCTGAAGACATTTCATCATCATCAACAGCCTTAATAGTCCACTGCTGGACATAGGCCTCTCCTTAGTAAGGAGGTTTTGGCCTACTATACCACGCTGGCCAGTTGATATAGGGTTTGTGTCAGGTTTTCCTTGTTTTGCGCCCTTAGTCGGCTCTCACGTCACCCACGGGATAAATAGGGGTAGTGACATTCACGTATTCTTAATTCGTCACTACACGGAATAACTGAAGACATTTAACTAAAACTAATCCGTTTTTGATCTGAAGTCCAATTCTCGTAATATCAGTTCGGTCAACTTTTGATCTCACAACTGTCATAAAAGATATTTTCGTAGTAAAATAATAAAGTATTACTAAGACTAGCAGATTACCGATTCAATCCTCGATTACAATATGATAAAATCACATTACAGTCAACGTTGGATGTTTAATACTTTACTAGAAAATACCTTTTATGACAGTTGTGAGATCGAAAGTTGACCGAGACCGAACTTTTATTATGAGAATTGGTCTTCTGATTGACAAATTACATATTTATATGTAGATCAGAAAAAGATTAAAAACAGCAACCACTTAATAGGTAGATACCAGAATATGACTTTGAAGGATGATGCTAATCACTTAAATGCCTTGCTTACTTTTTCTTTTCAAACCAGCTAATTTGTTTGAAAAGAACAGATTAAGCATTTTAGCAACACAAAACCAAGGGCCCATTACATACTTCGTCTGCCGCCTACGAAAATCTACCGGTGACGTAATATCAGAAAATTAAGCAAGAAGACTACATAAATTTGACGTGCTAACAGCGCTTAAAAAACTAGAAGTACGGTAAGTACTTACCTATTTTTTTTTCTGATATAAAAATATAATATTACAAAAAAGGTTAAAATCTAGTTGCGTAATTATAAAGTTTTATCTTGTATATTTTACTACTATTATGTTACTAACCTTGAGCTACACTACACTGCTACTGTTTATTCTTAAGCCTCTCTCTGCTAATCACGAACGTATATTACCTGCAAAAGGATATTTAGTAACGATTTATATTCCTTTATAGATAATATTATAATTCTGCCACGTTTCGCTGGCTAAAAACCATCCTTGAAGCGTGTTGTACATCGTGTCAAAATGTAAGCTAAATCGGTGAACTTTTTGAGTTTTTATTGTGCACAAACCAACATAACATTTTCATATATTTAAACTATGTTAAAACAAAGTAGTACGTTGTATGTAACTAACCGCATAATAGAAAAAAAAAGACTGAATGAGATACGACTTCTTAAACATCGCACTTACGAAGTTACCTAGAACCACATTACCTTGGATCACAAATTTCGTCAGACAAAACTATGTGCGAACCGTGTGTAATATATTGATTAGTCCTTTCAAAGTATGGGATATACTTTTGTGTATTCATTTGACGTAGGTAAGTAAGTGCCGATGTGTATGTAATACGACATTTACTTATTATTTATTACTTGCGAAAATTACCTCCGTCTTACAATGTCGTAAGAACACTGTCGACATTATCTTAATTGTAGAGAACGATTCCTATTTACTCCCAGATCTTTACATAGTATAAAATAAAGTCGCTTTTTTGTGTTTTAATCTAAGCAACGGATTTTAATGCGATTTTCACCAATAGAGAGAGTGATTCAAAGTGAGGATTTATAAGTATAATACATGCATATTATAGTAGAGAAAATCCGAGAATTTCAAAGATTTGTCTTAAAAAATATGATTTTGTGCGCTTACATTGCAAACGCTGGCTAACCTTACGAAATAGACCAAAATCATGTAGTACGGAATTGTATATCTTAAAAAGATCTACAAAAAAGTTCGCTATGGTATTATGTCTATTTGCTAAGGATAACCCACAGCTATTTAAAACAAAACATTATTATTCCTTATCCAATAAAATACTTTAGACACTTTGTGCATTTAATGTAGATTTTTTTTTCTTTACAGCATATCATTAAAATGAATATTTTAGAAGATATGCTGTTTAAAATGCGGGGGCCCAACGACCGTCGACTCGTACGTCCGTCTCGGGTGGCAGCGGCCGGGCAGGATCGGAGCAGGCCTATAAATATTGAATTGAAAGATGTCCTGTAGTATAGTCCTATCATAATAATAGTATAATTATTTAATCCATAGTGACACCACATTAGTAGTATCTACATTGCACCCGTGCGCAGCCGGGGCGGATCGCTAGTGTTGAATAAAATCATTACGTGGCTTAGATATTTAAGTGCTTATCTACGCGAAATAGTGAACTTTGAAGAATATATAGGTACAAGGGTTTGTATACAAGAGGATAGGTAAAGTACTTAATTATCTCCCGATTTAGTAAAAATATAGGTACGAGTTTGATTTAGACTTTTAAGAAAGGCTTACCCTCACAAAAGATACGATTCAGATTGCTTATGTAAGATGTGATATTGTGATTGTGGTAGATGAAACACCGAATTAGGGTGAAAGACTCCAATGGTTTTGAACTCCATTTCGAAATAAATGATTATTACCGGTTCGCACTCACTTATAAAATATAGTTCATTAAAGTTTTTCATTAAACATGCAACTTATAAATCAACCTATATTCACCTAATGTGCTGACTGATTGACTATTAAATAGAAAATGTTGACTTAAATTTTTCTAAAGCACGTTAAACAAGTCAGCAGTCGAAGAGCACTAGATCAAGCGGTTTAGTTTCAATATTTCTTTAACCAATGTACTTCAATTATTGTTTAAGTTAGATTGAAATGTGTGTTAGGTTTATAAAAACAATTTTAGTGGTCACTACCAGTCCATTAATAACAAAATTAGTAAAAAAAAACAAAGGCAGAATAGCGGTCGGGGCTCTTCCGTCTTCCGTATCAGTAATAGTCTATACATAAACAGTTCAAAGGAATTGTAGGAATTTTACATTTCTAATTATAAATGTGAATTAAAGTTCAGGCAGGTCTGTTGCAGACTTGCGGGCGGTTGAATTCCGGGCGGATGGCGGCAGACTGCCCACGCCCAAAGAGGTATGCGAGTGCCATAGGACCACCACGCCACGATGACTCATGGATCGTCCCGGCTGGAGACTCCACGTGCTGGTTTTGCCATCGTGGAGGGGCTCCGGCCGGTCATCGTCAATTGGGCAGGGCGTCAGCACGGGACCCTTTCCTTCCGACTGACGCAGGTCCTTTCCGGGCACGGTTGCTTCGAGAAGTACCTGCAATCGGTCGCTAGGAGGGAATTGGGTCCCGCCTGTCACCACTGCGATTTCAGTGAGGACTCAGGTCAGCACACGCTGGCAATTTGCCCGGCTTGGCCGTCGTAGCGTCGGGTCCTCACTCCTCATTGCAGTTATTGGAGAGGATCTTTCGCTACCGGCCGTCATACGCTCCATGGCCGGTAGTGTCAGATGTTTTACCGCGGTCGTATTCTTCTACGAAGACGTCGTCTCGCAGAAGGAGGCGGCGGAGAGGGCCCGGGAGGATGACCTCCACTCGGACCGAATTCGCCGCCGGCGAATCGGTGGCGGAGGCGCGCTAACCAGCGCCTCATGCTGCCCTGAGTGAACGGGACGGGTTTACTCCTCCATCTGCTATAGTGGCCAGCCGTGAAGAGGCGAGAGGCCTATATAGAGAATTTACCCAAAGGAGGTAGCCGCGCTGTTGCTGGCAGGCGCTGGGAAGGGTCCGGATGTCTTGATATCAGATGTTCCAGCACCCCCCCCCCCAGCAACGGGATTCCACACGTTAAAAAAAGGTATGTTCCAGATTAAGAGGTATTAATTTAATAAAACACTCGTATTCTGATCGCTTTAAACATGTGACCAACTATTTCTTGTTTAGTATTTCTTTCGTAAGTGCACAGTAATGCGGAATAATCAAAACCTGTCTTACCTCTTACCTACTTTACAACCTCACTATAATTCCGGAGTTCGGTAAACGACAGGTAAGACGGACTGAGTGGTGTGTAGGTAATAAATATATCGACGAAGGTACGTAGAGAGTGTCCCCTTCACTTGCATCAGTTGCATTTCATTTAAAATAATTTATGATTTGTCACAATTACCTTGTTTGATAACATTGTTATTGGGATAAATACTGAACTTAATATATAGTTAATCAACTTTGCATCTATAGGCGTTGCATGTTTTACTTTTTTTAAAGACCCACTTGTCACTTGAGCGCACCTCTCGCGTACCACCTCTGTGGCTGCTCAGGCAGGGAGGCAGTTTTTTTTTCGATTATGTGAATGAGAGTGATGTTAGATGAATGTATAGATAAATAAAGCTTAGGGCAAAACTAATCTTTGTATTTGCGTTGTTTTCTTGCTACCATATCTATAAGATGCATAATATCTTTCATGTGATAATTTTAATTATTTGCTGTAAGCCAACTTTAATTTTAATAATTTGCTGTAAGCCCGTGTGGTGGCGGATTAAGAATACAGCGTGTCAACACCCCTATTCATCCCGCGGGTGTCGTAAGAAGCGACTAAGGGAGCAAACTACGCAGGACAACAGCACTGCAGAGAGAAGGAAAACTTGACACAAACCCTATACCAACCCGCCTGGCCAGCGTGGCATAGTAGGCCAAAACCTCAATTCTAAGGAGAGGCCTATGTCCAGCAGTGGACTAGTAAAGACGTACTTGATACGACTAGTAGTTGATAATGATGATGATGAAGCCAACTTTAATATGTCAATAATTGCCCCAAGTCCTTGTCAAACAGTTGTTGGAAATTTTTATTTTACCTAGATAATATTTTCCTACGTAGATGCGGATGCAAAAATAAATATATAAAACATCTTTATTGCAACATATAAAATGTGTTTCCCAAGTAATAGTTAAATCTCACTTATGTAGTTTATTTAATACATACAGCATCTGGTAAAAACTTTAAACCATTGTCTTTATTGACTTTTACGTTCATAAAAAAAACCTTGGTGCATGTCACAAATGGCTGCCTAATCCCAAATAGGGAAAAGGCAATAAAGAGTGCTTAAGTCTTTATTGCCCTTATCCCATTTTTTTTGGGTCGGTGAAATGAGTTTTAATTGGTCATTCTCTATTCTTATATTCGTCAACTTCTATACTTAAAACTTTTTTCACTAAATTTTGGTCATCTCTACGCATCCTATGTCATAACAAGATAACCTGTTGCTCGACTTATATTACTCAATATATACATTAAATTGACACACACAGAACAAATACTTAATCGTGTTTATTATACCATTAGGTATGTGTTCTGTCCCGCCAGCAATCATTACTGCCATGCTGGCGGGTGAGGAGGGCTGGGGCGCAGTGGTCTCTTTCTGTGAAGCTGTAATGCTCCAGAAAGAGACCGCTGAACGGGATCGGGGGAGGGCCGATCCCGAGTGAAGAAGAAGTCGGCGGCGTAATGAGCAGCCGACGGGACCGCGGGCCGCCAGAGAATGGGGACCTCTGGTGGCAGATTAATTGCTGCGGTAGGGGACAGGATGGCAGCCTGATCGCACTGAAAATGTGATCGGGCTGCAACATCTGGATAGGCTGAGAGACAGGGAGAAGCCACTGGCTTTCCCTGAGATGGGGCCTAGTTAGGTGTGGCGTCGATCTGGGGGACCTGAAATCACATGGCCCGGGTTCTCCCCAGAGCAGGGGCGCCTAAGGCTGGCCATCGGAGTGGTTTTTAGTGGAATCACCACATACTCCTGGCTCCTATATCCCCAAGGAGCCGGAGATCCGAAGGGATTTCCCACTCCGTCAACAAAAAAAAAAAGGTATAGGTTCTGTGTGGGAATCGAACAGACGACCTCTGGCCTAGCCAGTCAGTACTAATAACCGCTAGACCAAAATGCCTCTCACATTATTAACTGCCCGAAATCATTAACGTTAAATACATTAATTTTTATAATAATACATAAAAAAATTCAATATTACTATGTATATACATATCATTATTATTATTGTATATGTATAAAACGATCAACATGCTTGCAAAATATTAATCTGAGGTAATTTAATAACCTACTAAAATTTTGCAAGTTTGAGGTCGCTAAGTTTCTGATATAATCTAATATAGCAATTTAAAAAAACACAGTCTATTGTATGATATGCCATACTAAGTAACTAAGCTTTACTTACTTAAAATAGGTGCATCCGCATTTTTTCTTCAACCAATTTTTTGTTAACAAATAGTTGGTATTGAGGTACTCCTTGTAAGGATAGGTGTCTTCCTGTCCTGTTGTTCGAACTTAGCGCGCCTGAATCCAAATTTGCCTGCATAAATTTATTGACTTACTTATTTGACACCAATCTTTCCACAAAGACATAAAATACCAAATGAAGGAGGATTTTCAAACTAACACAATTTTAGTTAATTTAGAACACAATAATATGTTTACCAAAGTAAAGATGCACTAATCGTGTTCACCCACCAGCTGCGCGGTCTAAGGTAACGAGTGCACTGTGTAACACGGTGTTCACACTAAGCGTTCAAAGCCCGCGCACAAGCACCATCGGGGCCAAGGCCGCCGTTGGAGTTGATTGCGAAGTAGTTATTCGTTATGTCAGCTTGTGTTCTACTTATGCAATGCTTACCTACCATTAAAGTGCAGTTCGATGGCCCGATGATTCTTTCTAATCATAAGCTGCTTACTCCATTAATTGTAGATTTTTTATGATGACCATCATAATCATTAATAATTATTCTGATAATTAACTTATTCTTTCTCACTGCTCAAAAACCTTAATTCAATGTAGTTACATACATTCGAGCAGGATGTTTAAGGTAGTCTCGCATGTGTATTGCCTTGCGTGTCGTCAGAATTTTGTAGATGTAAAAAAAAAAAAACGTCTTACCTTAAAAGTAAATTTAATTAAACACTTCAGTGCACTGGCCCTAAATATTTTAAATAGGTACAAATACATATATATAAAATATAATACTAGTACCTACAATTACTAGTACCTACAATTAATAAGTAAGTACTTAGTTAACTTCTGGGCTGTCGGGCTAGAGGGCAGTAGATGAACATCACCAATAAAATTATGAATGAAATGAATAGCAATTGAAAATATTACAAGTATTAGGCAAGTAGCAATATTTCACACAAAAGTTCCTACTGTCTTAGATATCTCTTCATAAAAGTATAAATTATTGTTTGACGCTCAAAACCTCCTTGAATTTCATTTGCAAAGTTTTTTTTTCTTCTATAAAGTATTATAGTTTAAATATCTATTAAACTATAATACTTTATAAAAGAAGACCAAAATAAAACATTCTACGTGAATGATGCTCTAATAACCATCGATATTCTCTCGAAATTGCCAACAAATAGATACAAGATCAGGGTTATGAAAGTCAATTTCATAATTAATTTCGAAGATACCCACGGTCGGCATTGCTACTCCAGACCTATAGATTCTCCCCTAATGAAGTCATAAAATGATCACCTAAGTACACTTATTACTACATAAAACAACGTTTAAATTAAACAATTGTTGTCTTCTTACCAGTAACCGTCTTTGCCGTCACTTACTAATACTTCTAAATATACAAAATGTTTTTGTGTACGCTTCAAAAACTCAAAAAGTTCGGCACCCGCTTCAAAAATGGTTTTTATTTATTTTTCACGTTAGTTTTGTTCCTCATTTTTCATTAATGCAACTACAATGTGCCACAGTATAGATAGTAGGTACGTATGGTATAGATAGTGGGTAACTGATAAAAAAGCTTGGCACAATGCCGGTCCTGTTTCATAGCCACACTACCTACACCAGTCTACTTGTTTTCTTCTGTCACGTACTTTTTATTGATATTTTTATATTATTTATCGGAGAGTGCATAACACAGAAGTAAATTCTCTAAAAAGGTTATATTTTAGAATAATATGCTACGTTGCCCTCGCATTTATTAAAAAAAAGCAATATTACTTATAAAAAATCGGTCAGGTACGAGTCGAACTCGTGCGCCGCGGGTTTCGTACCTACCCAGATTTTACGTAGATTTTCGCGAAACCGGAACTACCTTATAGGTTTTCGACCCAATACCTATAGGGTACTTCCGGTTGACCTAGAATTGTCAATTTAGGTTAAAAGCAAGGTCTTACAGCACAAGTAAAGAGAAAATTCTGGAAAGTACAAAAAATTTGAAAATTAAGGTAAATTTTGGTACTTACAAGTTTTCGCGAAAATCGAAATTTGCCCATATCTTTTTATCGTGTTGACTCAGTACCTTGATTTTTATACACCTAATAGGGACCATAGACCTCAGTATCTGTTAAAAAAATTCAACTAGCTAGGTCTACCCCTTCCTGAGAAAATCGGTGGTGACACACGGACTAGAAAGTGATCTTATAAGGGTTCCTTTTTTACCTTTTGTACGGCACCCTAAAAATAAAAATGTTAAGAAACAGTCTCCTTGGAGATTTTTTACCAGCTCTCCGGATCTACCTTCCTATCAAACCAGAAAAAAGTGAGCAATTGATTCATTAGATCCGGACTGACCTCTCACCTGTAAATCATCACTAGCGATCCTTGGAGCTGATTTTTGTATGGTGTTGCCACGGCGAGACGGTTTTTATGTATATTATTATTGTTTTAATAAAAATCCTCTTAAGAACTGTCAAGCCCAATCCTTTTATCAAAATCATGCGTTGCCACGTAGAAAACGTTGTAGCGCTTATGTGAACAGATGTACGGTAAACAATGGTCCCAAAATATACGACAACGCATTTTAAACCGCCTAGCGCCTTTGCAAAGGCTTCGGATCACAACGCGCGTAAGCACATAAACTAATTAAACGATGCGTGGTCCTGTTAATGTTCAAAACTCATCATCTGAGTATGGCTTAACTAAAGGGTTTTCCAATAAGAGGTGTTATTTTAGTATTCAAAGAAAAATGCAATTTTTTAAGATAAATAATCGGCTGTTTATTTTATAATAAAGAGGAAGGTATGCCGTTAATAATGGAAGATAACATCAGCCAAATGGCTACCACGACCACGCTTACAGGACCATATCGTTTTAATGAAATTTTGCATAACCAAACCGCAAAGTGGCTGCCCTATGTCCTCGATAGACTCACGAATTCCATCTTTGAGGTCTTGAATCGACGCTGGGCTGTTGGCGTAGACCTTATCTTTCACGTGGCCTCAAAGGAAGAAGTCGCAAGGTGTTAAATCACAAGATCTCGGTAGCCAATTGTGATCACCTCTTCGAGAGATAACACGGTCAGGAAACTTTTCCCGTAAAAGAGCAATGGTTTCGTTGCTTGTGTGGCACGGAGCGCCGTCTTGTTGAAAGTAAACGTTGTCCAGATCAATACCATCCAACTCCGGCCATAAAAAATCATTAATCATATCTCGATAGCGCAATCCATTCACCGTAAGTGTTGATCCAACCTCATTTTCGAAAAAGTAAGGTCCAATGACCCCGCCGGACCATAAACCGCACCAAACAGTCACACGTTGAGGATGTAGAGGCTTCTCAACAATAACTCTTGGGTTTTCCGAGCCAAAGATGCGACAATTTTGCTTGTTGACGTAGCCTCCTAGGTGGAAATGGGCCTCATCAGTCAAGATGATTTTTCGATGGAATTCCGGATCATTTTCATGCATTTCAAGTACCCAATCAGCAAAAACACGACGTTGTTGATGATCGGCCGGCTTGAGTTCTTGTGTTAACTGAACTTTATAAGCCTTAAGACCCAAGTCTTTATGCAAAATACGGTATAATGACGTTTGTGGAATGCCCAATTCCAAAGAACGACGAGGAATGGACAAACCTGCGTTTTCTTCAACACTGGGCTACAGCAGCAATGTTCTCAGTTGTTCTTGAGTGACGTGCACGGGTTTTATTCTTCACATCACTAACTTGTCCCAACAGCTCGAATTTTTCCACCAATTTCTGTATTGCAGACCGACAAGGTGCTTCACGACGACCAAAAAATGCTTTAGTTTTGCGAACTGTGACTGCAAGATTTTCACCATTTTTGTAGTGAATTTTAATAATTTCAATGCGTTGTTGAAGTGTATATCGTTCCACTTTTAGTAATGGCGTAGTTTCTACTTGTCAAATGTCAAAAAATAAAAGCTTGTAAAGTGACAGCTACCGAAATAACGGTGATTCAAAATAACACCTCTTGTTGGAAAACCTTTATATTAGCTGTCACTGATGCTTTACACAGAAATCACTATTTTATTAAATTACATAACTATTATTTAAGTGGTTGCATATTCATAAGGTTAAATATTATACAGGTCAATTAAAACAAGAAGATTGTAAATTATATGTTAATATTGTAACTGAAACGTAACTCTCGTAACTGAAAAATCTGAGAATGTCAGAGTGTGGGACAGAGGAATATTTATTATATATTTTATTACTTTAGGATAGATAGTCAGATCTCCACTCTTTCTTACACGACTGGGCCAGGAGGTTGTTTTTCAAGTGTACGTATGTATATTTCTTTTATACGCTCTGTAGCCTAAATAGCATGTTGGATTTTCACCTTGAGGCACTGGGTATATTTATGAAAATTATAAGAAATTAAAATGTCGGATACCCATAATAATGTTTGTGAATTTAAGTTAGTAGGATTTTCCCACAGTCGTTTTTTTTTTCAATAATTGGCTAGTTTTAACATAAGTAACCAACTTACTAAGTTGTAGGTAATACATATAATTATTTGGTGTGATGGGAATCCCGTCGCCCTCGGTCCAAAAGCTCGTGGGTGACAACGGTGAAGTGACAACAATAGTACGCATCTAGAAATCTACTTTACTGAAAGCACACGGTGTTTTCTCTCAGTTGGGGTAATCCCTAAAACACTTAGAAAATATTGTACTGAAGTAAACATACATACAAACTACGTAGTAGTGACTAGGTATTACGGGAGGCCGGGAGGTATCTGCTATGCAAAGGCTTAGAAATTAGACTAAACAAAAAAGGTGTAGGATAAATTTGTGAATAAGAGCATACCCTTAGGTACTCCAGGAGGCTTCTGCGCTTCTGAAAGAGCTGGCTTAGCTGGCCAACCTTCACTAGACGAATTAAGGATTGTTCTTGAGTCTAATAGGAGCCCATTACCATTTGTCCTTATGTACTTACTATATATAATTATTATTATCAAAGAGCGTACTCCTTCCTAAAAGGCCGGCAATGCGTTTGAGACTCCTGAGTTGCAGTCGTTCATGGGCGGCACTTTCCATCAGGTGACCCGTCTGCTTGTCTGCCCCCTCTAACATTAAAAAAAAATAACAATAATATTTAAAAATATGACGTTCTTATTTGCATTAAGACGGTACTTAACTAATTAACATACCTAATAGCGGAAACAAATCCGCAAATAAATAGTTCTGGAATCGAGTCAGTCTTTCAGAGTCAGTTTCCAAAAACTATAATTACCTACTTATAAGCGAAATTGTACCTCGATGATTGATTACGTACTTTAAATAAAGACTATATTTTTATGATTTAATAACAAATGATAGTTTTCACATTTTTCCCTTTCGTAGTATAAATCCTTCCCACTAAAACTACGCTTATGCAGTCCTTACTTATCCCCTTAATCGACTAGGGTGATGTGTGTGCAGAATGTGACCTGAATGCAGACCTTCTCAATAAACTAGGTCGTCTTCTCAATAACTGCATTCGATTCAGTTTCAATCTTCGCAAGTATGACCACGTGTCTGCTTTACGTTCCCAGCTGCAATGGCTACCTATTCGTCAGCGCCGTAGTTTGCGAGCACTGACTTCACTCTTTTCTTTCCTCAACTCTCCTTCGCTACCTGAATACCTCGTATCCTTCTTCCGTTTCTTATGCTCCAATCACGAGCGAAATCTTCGGTCAACAAACAATATCCTTTTTCTATGTCCAGTCAGTTCTTCTCTGGAATGCCCTCCCTGCCGAAATCGGGATGTCCACAAACCGCCTTGCATTCAAGAGAAAAGTGCGCGATCTTCTTCGGAGTGCATTGGCAGAACCGTCACAACGCTAGTAACCGACTGAGTATTTATATATTTTATTAAATTTATGTAGGTTTATGTATGTATGTGTGTTTATATTTTGTGTATATGTCTGGACTTCAATTATCTTAAATTTAATATTTTATTTTGCACCTGCATATCATATTTCTACATCACCTAAAAGGTCGACTGGGAGAGAATGCCTGAATGAATACAACATGTGCATTAAGTTTTAAATAAATATAAGACGATGTTACTTGCCAAATTTCATAGTACTAGGTCAACAGGAAGTGCCCAATAAATTTTGATTCCCTTGAGTGTCGTAATATGCGTTTTTGGCTGCATAAGGGCCGTATTTTTTGCGTTCCCGGAATAAAGGGCCTTGAGAGACAGCCGAACGGATGGACAGACAGACAGACGGACAACAAAGTGATCAAATGAATCATTTTTAAGGTGCCGTTTTTCCTTTTGAGGTACGGAACCCTAAAAATGATTAAGTATTTATACGTTTTTCATTACCTAATTGGTAATGTAATAATTAAAATCTGATTAGGTAGGTAAATTTACAAAAAGAATAACTTGTTTTAAACTAAGTTTCTTTATTATAATAATAGGTTTTGCTGCCTACTCATCTAATACAATTTGTCCTAATCAAAACTTAAAAATAGTGTGTTCCGTTTTTAAAGCATTAGAGAGAGATTTAACTAGATAATGTTAATATTTCGTGAGAGAGGGCACCCGAGTAAAACTAAGGGCTTAACACCAAAAATATTGATGGAATAATTGTTTTTTTTAAATACTCCACTGCAAAAATCTTAGGTCACGATAGGCAAGTGCAACCTACCTTTTCTCGAAGCACTTCGTCGTTTTTTGAACCCTCATGCTTGGGTTTGGATTATACCACATAAACGAAATTCTCGGGATATGATGTTAATGGTGGACTTATTAAACATATAAAGTTTCAATTGCATAGCACTTTTACTTTAGATTTTATTGATATCTGAAAAAACTCCGATTTCGTCACTATTCTTAGGGTACTTCCTGAAGTCCTACAAAGCTGAAATTTGGTATGTAAGATAGTATTAGTACACAAAGAACAACAAAAATTCTAACTTGACACTTTTATATTATTTTAATTAACTGTAGATTTTTTAACAGATACCAACAGGGCCAAAATAATAATAAATCCCATCAAAAACTTTACATTACTGGATGATGGGATCTCATCTCTTTCCCCAATCATTTAATTTATTGCATTCTAACCTTCTATTTTTATTTTCCAGTAAACAAGTAGGAAAAATACGAGAAGATAATTTGTCCTATTATACAAATTATCTACCTTCATACCTACTAATACCACGTGGTTTTAGTCGGTTCAGTCACATACCACCGTCGGCTCTGGCGAGGAGATAACCCGTAGGGGTTTCCACACGACAAACTGTTCTAAAATAGTAATATTCAATGTTATTATTTCTTTATGTAGGTAGGCACATGTCTGATTATTTGTTTAAAAATTGGTACCCACAAAATATAATATATCTATACTTTGTATAAGATATATTAAATAGCATCTTTTTTTTTCGAAGATTCGCCTGATGGGTAGGTGAGTACCACCGCATGGAGTATTCATGCATACGTGCACAAGTGTACACAAGAGTCACAAATGCTTTGCAGGTCTTTGATACACATATAACATTGAGGACTTTTGAACCAGTTATTTGTACAAATACGTTAAATCAGCGGCAGCGGCAAGAGAAACGCAAGACGTACATTCATATCCATTTATAATTTTTGAGGAAAATTAAACATTTAATGATATGTAACGTGCATAATATTTCATTAACTACATATATTAGTTTTATTACAAATTTTATCGCCTGACAGGACTACCATATACTCTATACTATCTATTTCTAAATCAATGCTTTTGGATTTCATCGTTTAATGTACTTTTTTGGTACATTTAGCTACATATTCTGGTGCGTTGTGAATATTTTAATGAATTGCGACTAGAGTAGTGAACATTTTCCACCTAGTAAATGAACGGTTACATTTTATTATGTATTGTACATAAAAAAAATGTAATAATTATCTTTCCCACTTGTAAATATCATTTTACATATTTAACGTTCAAGATGCAACTAATTCCATTTTTCTATACTTTTTTCTGAACGTCGATACAGGATCCTTAAACAATATTGGATCCAACCTGAGAACAGATCTTACTAGTGGCATGTAACCCCAAGCCGTAGCAAACGTATTGAGGCAGGACTGCCTCTGTACAAAGTGCTCGGGATCGCTCCATGATGATCTGAAAGTTTCAATTTTAATTAATATTAACATATTGTCATTTTTTAAACTACCAATTTTAGACACTGATATACCTATATCTATACATTTTTTGTTTGTCAATATTAATTATTGTTTACAGCATATTGCTTTTTAAAGAACAAAAAGAATATAATGACTTGTGTGCATAGAAGAATCACGAATCATCACAAGCGAGAATGTTTTACATTGTAACGTATTATTTTTTGCCAATCTGCATCTACGGTAAATATGTTGTTTTAGGGTCAAAGGACTTGCATTAGAATTAAGACTAAGTCGGATCAGAGATTTTTAAACGTTTTCAATTTTTTGTTTTCCCGACTTGAGGATTTACGAATTAAGTTGTTTTATAACAGAAATGGATTGTTAGGTGGTTCAATAGAATTTTCGTACAATTAGAACAGTTTTTAATTAAACAATCGCATTGCCGTGCACCAATTGTACTAAGTATAGAAAGATCTATACTATCTATCTATTAATATATGTATAAGTATGTTTATCAGCAGTCACATTACCATAACACTAGGCTAGTTTGGAATCAGACGGCCGTGTGTGTGATGCGTGAATTATTATACTTATATCTTTCAGTGCAGCACACGGACAAAACTTAGATCCAATCGATTATGAAAAATGTCTTAAAGCACTATTGTATACTTAATGTGATTTGTGCACAAAAAGATTTAGTCATTTAGTCAGAATCTTTGTAGATCAAATTTAAGATTAAACATTATTTATTTATTTGTGTTTGTGACCCTGACTACTGAGCCCGTGTCGTGGGTTCGATTTCCATCCTAGAGAAATTGTGTGATAAGCACGATCTTTTGTTCTGTGTCTGGGTCTATAATATTTGTGTTTAAATAGTATGTATTTAGAAATAATATTTCTAAATACATAGTTCGCTGATGTACATATTATATAAGTACGTTTATCAGCGGAATGGTTAAAATAGTACAGGCTCTGCCTAGTTTAGGATCAGACTGTCACGTGTGAGATGGGTAAGGTTATTATTATTATTATTTTACCTAAAATAAATATTTCAAATATATATTTAAAGAAAACTATTTTAGAACATTAATTACTTTCTCTGGGTTCACTTTACCCTAAAACTTATTGAGCCTACGCCCTTGCCTTCATTCATTAAATATTACTTTCTAACTTACTTAATAAGAAACCATGTTAAGACCAACAATTAGAAAATCAATCTCAATTAACATAGAAACACAGTCCTATACTATAGCGTGCAGTGATTGTAATACATACTGTTTCCATTAATATCTATTTCTAAATGCCCAATGCACGCTTTCCTACGCATCGTTTCGCATTCGCATTCTTTCAATATACCTAGATACATATAGCGCAATGCCTTACTCCACCTACGTATTATAAAACCCTCTCACAGTTGCTCCCAGAACGTGGACTCCAACTTTAAAAGGATCCCAGGGACTATGGAAGCTGACATACTCATCGTTTCTCATGCAGTCTGTTATTCGCTCGGAACCTACATCTTCCATGAAATTCTTATTTGTAACCCCACTAACATTTAAGTCTTCAGTCTGCTGCCTTCTTTTCAGCCTTCCGAGAAAGATTTTAGTTTGACAAGTGGTGAGTATAGTTTCTGATCCCCTCTGGTTTACTTGGTTCAGTATCAGATCAGAAACTATAATGTTACAATTCGTATTCATTTCTAGAACTTTTACATTGCATTTAATGCATGTCTGTATAAACCGTAAAATTTACATTATGATCTTAATAGAGGGCTAGGATTTTTTGTGGTCACACAGTCACACGTATAGAATATACTGAACATAAAAGGTTAGCTGCAGTACTGCGTCCCTCTCTCACCCCCGTATCTGAAGGTGGGAATCTCCCCCCATAATATAGTTTAGATTAAAAATAAAAAGAACTTGCTCCACAAAGCGCCTCGCATACTGAAGCCTGGTTGGCTCACCGTCGACTTGTAAGAAAAAGGCGCCACACAGGCCCACACTACAAGTGAACTTATATATTTGTGATTTCTTTAAGTAATTTATCTCTAACGCTGGTGAGAGGCCGCCCCTATCAAGTTTCTGCCCCGGTTAGAAAAAATCGTAGATCCGGGGATGCACTCTCTCGCCCCTTCACAACCACCTACAGTTTTAGTTACTCCATTCTAAACCGACGAAAGCGTAAACGCTAATGAAAAAAAAGGAGCCGTAGTCCAGGGCCGACCGCATAAATCATAGCATAGAGGTGAGAAAGTTTTAGTAGCATGCGGTTACTTACTTATATCGATGATGTGCAGTCTTGTATCGTCGGCGTTGAGCGAGCTTGAGCGGCGGGCGGCGCGTGAGGTGCGCCACGAGGCAGTTGAGCAGGATGTCCTCGCAGTTGCGCGTGCGCCGCACGGCGAGGCGCAGCGCCGGCGCCGCCGCCGCGTACTGCGCCAGCCACGAGCGGTGCACCAGCGCCGCGCCCGGCAACACCAGCGAGTACGACGCGCCCCACTTGCTGCTGTAGCCCCACGCACCCTGCCCACCGTCAAACTACATGTTTTAATACAATACTCAACTGTTTGGACATGTTGTTTTTAAAACGATGCGAACCTTTGCCTCGTCCCAGAAATGAGTCCGAGCAGGATAACCGACTATACGCTCGGGAAAATGTTGCCACACTCGGAAAGCGAAATCCAGCTCCTCGGCCAACAGGGGTGCGTCTCCGTCTAAAGAGAACACAGCGGCAGTCGGCACCGCCCATAGCGGTTGCCATCGAGCTGAAACACCTTCCCTGAAATATTTCCATAATTTAAAGTTAATAACTATTCGAGTAAAATTCATATTCAACTGTTAATGATATTTCATTACCTACCCAGGGTAATGCGTGGTAGCATCGACGACGAGCACGGGTAATGGATCTCGAGCATCTCCTGCTAACCGTGCCAGTGACTTGAGTGAAGGAGCTGCTCGTTCACTGTCCCATACTAAGACAACCTAAACAAAAACCAATTAATATATTATATTTTTAAATTTAAACTGGTTAAGATATATGTTTACACACACATTTTTATGCGACAAGTTATTACCTTTTCACAATACTCACTACTCGCTAAGTTAGCGAGTAGTTTATGTAATGCTGGTGACGTCGCTTGAACATATAACAACGCAGTAAACATATTACCAGGTGTAGGCGGCGGCGATTCTACAGGCACAGAGGGAGCGGGGAGAGGAGAGAGAGGAGCAGATGGACACGGTGGAGCTTGTAATACGGGCGCGACAATGGGGTAGTGAACACGCGAATCTCCATATGTAGCCAAAGTACCGAGAGCACCAGGAGAGGCGTTCCAGATTAAGGCTTCGCGTTGTCTCGATGACCTGTGAGTTAATACGCGCTCCAAAAGAATCTGAAAAAAGTCATTACAAAAATTTCAGAAACTCGACTCCTTTATACAACTTATGACAAGAATACAGTAAGTATTCTTAACACTCCTCGCTCATGATGTTCATATCTAGAAATGTATGCAGTATATATAACGATTATATATATAACCCAATGTTGTTCATAATTTTTTAGATCCAAAAGCAATAATAATAACACAAAAAGTAATTACTAACGAACCAACCCACTTGGTGTAAGCCCATGACAAGTTCAAATTGACTAGCGTCACAGCTAAGATATAAAGGATATAATAATAACTTCACACACGCCAGTCCGATCCCAAACTAGGCAGAGCCTGTACCATGGTAGCCAGACTGCTGATAAACATACTTATATATTTTTAAATAGATACATATTATAGATAAATAACATCCAAGCACAGAACAAATGACCGGGCTCATCACAAAATATTTGTACTGGATGGGAATCAAACCCGCGACCTCCAACTTAACAGTCAGGGTCGCTAACCACTAGACCAACAGGACCGTAAGTAATGACTAAAAACTTTGTGGTATCCATAGTGGATATTTACCAATGGTAATTTAAAAACCACTAGGGATACCACGAAAATTTTAGTCAACAATAAGAACATATTGAGCAATTATTAACCAATTTATTTTAAATCGCTTAATGGCTATAAGTAGATTAATGGCTATAGAGAACAGTTCTGCTAATTCATTTTAAAAGTCAGTTTTAAACATCATTACAAATTTCATATACCTACAATATATTCTTATATCATAATATACCCTGTCACTATTGTACAATACACTCTTAAATCCCAACACTCCTCCTTAATTAAAAGAAAGCTTTAAATTCATACATGATACGCATTCAAGGTTGCAAGATCGTCGGAGAACTAGACTTAGAAAATCCCGAAACATTTTATGGACAAGTATTTTACTATGCAAGCCATACGTTTGTGGAATACATTGCCACTGCCCATCAAACGAGCACAAACACTCGCTAGTTATAAAAAGTTACTGACGGAGTATTTCCTAAATTGTTGAGCGACGAGGGCCTTGATGTTCGCCGAATCTTGTGCTCATCTATATCTTATTTCTGCATTTTTTATGTATACTATTTTAATAATAATAATAATACTTTATTCATCACTTTAATTTACAGTTTTCTCTTATTTCATATGGTAATACAAATTTAATAAATAAAATTTTGTGTAGTATATATTATTATATGTGTAATAATTTATGTATGTGTTCAATGTGCTTATTTCTATGTCAGTGTGTTTATATATAATATAGTTTACAATGCTTTTGCTAATAAATAAATAAAATCTTTCTTTCTTAAATACTAGTATTACTACACTAAAATATTAACATTACCTCTATTGTAGTAAAAACGATTTTCTCTATTGAAGAAAAATACTGTTCCCATAAAAATTGCGTCTGCTGTCGTAAAGCAAGAATACGCTCAGGAGGAATAGAGCGCACAAGTTCGGGCACCTGAATAAAAAAACAATCAATAATGTTATACATTATTATGTACCAATATTGACCTTGTTTAACACTAACAGTAAAAAAATTGTCTTAATTTTTCTTTTACATAGATTTAGCTAAATAGCAGAAGTACCAGGCATTTTTTACGTTTGACTGTTGTAAGGAAAGAAAACACTTGTGAGATAGTTTCCATTTGCAAAGCAGCTAGTTTAAATTTTTAAATTTTTTATCTTATTTTCTGGGGTGGAGGACTTTCAAAATCTATACAGGACCCTGTTTCGTTGTTTTGGACCTTTAAAATCGATAGCTTTGAGCGTAAAAAAAATTACAGCCATTAAAACTCAATTCTAAGAGGGGCTCATGGCTAAGTGGTAACCAAGTAGGTTAACATATTGCAAAGTCAACCAATCCTAGCCAGGTCAGTCTATGAATAGGTGACCATTCTCAAGGTATTGAGACCCCTCCATGCCTCGGTGAGCACGTTAAGCCGTCAGTTCCCATACGAACATCTGTGGCAATCAGTACAGGTAGTTGAAGCCCAAAAAAATTCTGACAATAGTCTTTCTACAGGAACTTCGATGTCGCCTGCTACTTCGGTTGTGGAAGTCTGATGGCAGTCGCTCCTCGTAAAATATCGAAGTTCAGCCGTATCATAGTAGACGGTATGCCAACTCCAACCTAGTTTGGGAAAAAGATTTGGAGGAAGAAGATTAAAACTAAGTATGTTGCAGATGGCAGAATCACACATTATACTTCTATATAAGAAAGGTTCAAAGGATGATATTGGAAATTACAGACCCATATCTCTCATCTCAAATGTGTATATAGTTTTTGCGAAAGTGATACTGAACAGAATATCGAACACTCTTGACGAAAACCCACCCGTGGAACAGGCTGGGTTCAGGAAAAACTTTAGCACAATTGACCACATACACACCATTAAACAGCTTCTACAAAAATATAACGAGTACAACAAACCTATCTACCTAGCCTTCATAGATTATTCAAAAGCCTTTGACAGCCTTAAACATAGATTGGTATGGCAAAGTCTTATGGAGCAGGGTGTACAATATGCTTACGTAAACGTCATCAAAAAGATCTACAGCGAGAGTAAAGCTAGCATCAAGCTTGAAACTCTCGGGGATAATTTTCCAGTTGACAGGGGAGTCAGGCAAGGTGACCCTCTTTCACCAAAGTTATTTTCAGCAGTACTAGAACAAATGTTTAGAAAATTGGATTGGAAGCATCTAGGGCTAAACATAAACGGTTCGCGGTTAAACCATCTAAGATTCGCTGATGACCTGGTCATGATGGAGGAGAACCCAAGATTACTGGAGTCCATGATACAAACGCTGGCAGACAGAAGTCGAGAAGTGGGTTTGGAAATGAACTCGAGCAAAACAAAAATGATGACAAACGCAACAGCTGCAGACATAACTGTCAATGGACAAAAACTTGAATATGTTGAGAAATATGTATACCTAGGTCAGATCATTTCTGACATGGTCCGGGTCCTCCCCAGAGTAGGACACCTACTCCTGGCTCCTGAGTCCCCGAGGAGCAGGAGATCCGAAGGGATTTTCCACCCCGTCAACAAAAAAAAAAAGGTCAGATCATATCTTCAAGCGACCAAATGTCCAAAGAAATTGATAAAAGAATCGCTACTGGGTGGAAAAAATATTGGGCTTTAAAAGAAATAATGAAAAGCAAGGAGATTGGCATCAAGATCAAGAAAAAAGCTTTTGATACATGCATTCTTCCTTGCATCACATATGGCTGTGAAACCTGGGCTCAAAGGGAAAACTTGCAAAATGTCAACGAGCCATGGAAAGGAGCATACTCGGGGTAATGTTAAAAGATAGAGTCAGGACTGTAGATTTCAGACGCAAAACTAATCTAACAGACATCCTAACACATATTGACCGACAAAAATGGAGATGGACAGGGCATATGCTCCGTTGTAAGCATGAAAAATGGAGCAAACAGGTAACAGCCTGGTATCCAAGAAATGGGTCAAGGAGCCGAGGTCGCAAAGTGAGAAGATGGGAAGATGATCTGAAATTGACTCTAGGTCCCCTTTGGCTAAGGATTGCAACCGATAGGAAACAGTGGAAGATGTTGGAGGAGGCTTTGCCGTAAGGCACACCAAACTTAGGGACATATTATGACTAATGTACTAGGGATTATTGAGTAGTATGAAAAACTGTATAACTTCGGAATTAAAGGCTTATTATTATTATTATGTTACCTGTAAGAGTAAACGTTCATCAGCCCATATTACTGCACGCCGCCAGTCAATCCGTTCATCAAATGGCAACCGCCAACCATTACTTAACAAGACTGGTATGCATCCTGCTGCTAAAGCTTCAAGAAAACGGTATGACCCAAGACGGCGCCCCCTTGCTACTAAGCAAAATGTGGAATTGGCCAATAACTGCTCATAATCAAACCTAAAATGAGACATTGGAATAATTTAAAATTGTTTTATTTATCCCCATTCCCTTTTTTCAATCACTACTAACTATACTATTTACTTGCTTTCATTATTAATAAGGATATCTAATAGGTATATACATACATTACTTATTCATTTACATGCATTTTTTCTTTAAATAAAAGCACTTTAACAATTATAAGAATTCACATCATGCAGTCTTAATTAATGTACCTAAACAAACAGAAAATTAACAAAAATAACAAAATATTGATTTTAACTTTAAAAATCAATAACATGAAAAAATTTCAATTAACTTAATAAATTCAATAAGAAATGCATAAAAGTCTTTAAAACAAAAGACAATTGAAACCGAACGAAGATAAACATTTCAAATTAAATTAATTGGTCCAAACATTTTCAAAAGTAGAGAGAAACATGTCACAACCTACTAATAGGTATACTAATTAATTATTTAAATTTAGATAAACTGTTTAAGATAGTATCTATTTGGATCACACAGAGTTTTGTCTAGTATGAGAACAACAATTAGCATGGCTTAGTTGCTAAGTCACCTCTTCAACCATTGCACCATCTGTTATTTCATCATGTATGCCATGTGTGGCTTTATTTGATACTTAGGGATATCAGAGATATACAATGAATCATAAAATGTAACAAAAGAGAAAAACAAACCTTAATATTAGCCTTTAATTTTTTTAAGTTTGAATATTTCAAAACACTACAGTGTGTTAATAAAACAAGAATCATTAATTACATACTTATCATATTCTCTGTTGTCTTCATCACATCGTTCATCCCGTAAGTCTTTCCAAGATTTCCCATGACGGCAAGTAGTTACCAAAATGAGATGATTACTGTCATGTAGGTGCCACAATGAGTTTCTTGTTTCACTGCCAATTCCATGCACATATCTTTTGCCTTTAAAGGCTAACAGATGTCTCCTAGGAGCTGGAAAAGCATTGCTAAGAGCTGCAGGAGGAACACCGCCTCTCTCAGGATGTTCCTTGTGAAATAATGGCAAGGAGATATCAAAGCCATCTCGGAAAAAGGTCTCTGAAGCACTAGCCTTAGCCAAAAGTGCTTCACCAGGATCAAAGCCTATGGCATTTTCAGCGTAATCAGGCCAGGTTCCAGCATACAAATTGAATATCAGGTGATTACGGCCATTATTCCAATAAGGTAATCGAGACAATCGTGAAGCTACATCTTGAACATGTTCTGGTGATAGTGGATCAGCATCTAGAGTATCTATTGCTGGTACAAAAAGACAAGCTTCATTAGGGTCCCTCGTAGCATATCGAGATTCTCTAATAACTGATAAAACCTTTCGGTACGAAGCACTAACAGGTCCATCACTGGGATAAACATAAATTTTGGGATCATTACCACATTTAGAAAAATCAAAACAAGTCTGCATTCTACAAGGATTTGTTAATGATCCTAATCTTCTGTGTGGTTCAGAAGGAAGTTCTAACAACTCTTCAAACGTGGCGTAGCTGGGCAACTGATTAACTCGAGTATTTTGATTTACTTCTGATTTCAAATGGTATGTGCTAAAATAACAATAAATTAAAAATGCACATAACACGAATAGAAGAAGAAACCGTTTTTTGGCCTGCATTTTAGCAGAAACTGGGCGAAATTTAAATATTAAAATATATTTATTTATGGCGTTTAGGGTTTAATTTAAACATTTTAATTTTAGAGTACTCTGTCGCTTCACTTTTGTTGAATAGCTAAAACAGGTTTCGATCTGTCGATTAAAAAAATTAAAAAAAAAAACATCGATACAGCCGACTACACTTATTACAAATCAGACCAAAACATTGGGACATAGCCGACATAGATATAGGCCGTCTGACATCTCAAATGAAACCAAATGAAACAAAATTCTCATGACACTTCACAGAACACTATACAGTATACATCAGTTAGAACAGTAAGCCTTAGCAGGTTTAACACAATCATTGTTTTTATTTTTCCAATCACTTTCTGGCAACTCGGAAATAATTTATTAGTTGGTCAATAGAATCAATTACACCTGATAAATAGGAAAGTGTTTGTCTAAGATATGATAATTATCATATTATTACAGCAATACATTAAGGTAATTTATATATTTAACAAATATTAACTTTTGGAGATCGCACGCATTTTTTCTTTTTTTAAACTTTCCAAATAAATTATATTAATTAAAAAGTTATTAAAAAAACTTTTACACGATATTAAACTCTTCTTACGTAGGTAATTGATTAATAATTAGTTTAGTTTTATTTAACCGACTCCATAGTCTCAAAAGGAGGAGGATTCACTTGATTTTTTATACTGGCAAATCAAGTCAAAAAATATTTCGTGATATATTTTTGCATGACTTAAGTTAATTTTACTGGTTGTTGAAATAAAAGTATTAATACTAATTATATTAATACTTAAGTTTGCAAATTAGGGGTGTTTAATAAAACTGACTTTGCGCCTGTAATATACTTATAAAACTTATGAAAATGTTTAAACATTACTGGCACTGCTCCATAGCTACACTGTAAATAAGTAAATTTTCATAATGGTATTTTAATTTTGCTAAATGTGTCATGCGTGAGTGTGAACAGATATTCCTAAAACGAAATATATGGTGGTAAATACAGTGACAGTTGTTTTTTCTTTCAACATTAGTTTACTTTCTTTTGTATGTATTTCAAATAGCTCGCTCTTCTCCTGCTTCTGTTACACTCTTCTGTGCTTTTTTACGAAAAAAAATACACAGATAGCAGGAAAGCGAGAGAAAAGTTGTTACACATCAATAAACATGTCAAAAATTCCTTTTCTTTCTGGCTTTAGAGTTTCTCGCTTGTTCTTTGTCTTTTTATTAAATTCTTTTTACCGACTACTACTCTTGACTATAAAAAGAATAATTGAGGTAATTAGAATAAGAGGTAAGTGTAAATGAAATGAATGACTTTAATTTCATATTCTTGTCGTTACAATTAAATTAGATTTTTAATTGTATTAAGATAAGGATGAAGGACCCCCAACATTTAAAAGAGATGTTTACAGATACAATACCGGGTTCTGAGGTTACGCGCAAGAAAATACAACGCTGTGGGTTTTACATTACACGTATGCTCAAAATAGAAAAATAAACCGGGCAAAAATGCGAATAGCTCCCCGTATCAGCAATATGATAGTAATAATATAATAATAATAAATGAGCAATAATGTGGTAGCACAGTATTTATTTTTATTTTATAAAACAGGTACAGAAACAGACAACAGATTATGAAACACAAACAATAGCATTTTAACACACATGTTATAAACCTGATATCCTATTATATTTGTACTAGTGATGTGCCGGATATCCGTATCCGTATCCGTATCCGCGGATATCCAAGGGAGAAGAGAGATCCGTAACCGTATCCGTGACTTTTTTGGCGGATCTTTCAATACATATTACATAGATGAAATTCCATATAGGTGATTTTGTATTCACTGTAAAAATCTTAGGTATGTGTTTGTAACACTATTAACAGCAAACTTTTTTTCTGGCCAACGTCAAAATAAAAAAAAATTGGTCCTTCATTCAAATGACCAATCAAATGTTGTTAGTTTGTATGGAGAAACAATTTTTTTTCTTTCGTTTTCGGTGTTAATCCAGAAGAAAAGTTGTTGTTTATAATGTTACTAATATGCACTTCAGAGGTTTTCAGTAAATTTAAAACAACCCTGATTAATGGTTATTAGGTAGCTATGAAAAACTATTGAATTCTGTTCAGATTACTTTTTATTTCTTAAAACAAATATTTGGCACCTTTGTATTGCAATCATTTATCGTACTACACTAAATCAACTAGGCAGGTCGTAGGTACTGAAAGAGCTATCTTTATAATGAGATCAATCAAACATCTTTGTATTAGCTTATTAAAATAATGAAATATTTAAATGTCAACGGCAAAGCGTCAAGTGGCGACAACTATCAAGGTCACGGGCTCCGATTGAGTAAGAAACTTAAGATCCGTATCCGTATCCGCGGATCTTGACACCAAATATCCGTATTCGGATCCGTATCCGCGGATATACTTTGTTAACGATCCGGCACATCAATAATCTGTACACATCATTTAAAAGTTAACAGCTTCCTAGAGATGAAGACAAATACATAAACAAATGGAGATTAGAAGAAGTGAATACAATGATAACAAAGGTGACTAAACGCTAAGCTAATTTATCATTTATGGCTTTTTTAAAGTTAATTAATTTATCATTAAAGATATCCAATCCTGAACAAATATGGTTATACTGCCTACACATCCTCTTAAGTGGGCTATTTTCAGAGACATTATTGTTACTTGAGGGTATAGTGAACAATTAATGTGGAATGCGCACGGATCGCGTAGGTATCTTAAAATGTATCTGTGTGATGAGGTCACAGTCTAGAGAACCATTAACAATCTTGTGTAGGGTACACAAGTCGCTCATCAGTCTCCTCCTAAGCTTACCATGTCATAAATTTCAAGTCTGTCTTCATACATGTATAACTGTATTTTACGCCTCAATCCACATTTCACGGTTAGTGCTCTAACGAATCGTTTTTGAATCGCTTCAAGTCTGTCTATATGTATTTTATAGATTGGAGACTGGTCTCCAATCTATAAAATACATATAGACAGATAGACAGAAGTAGATAGACAGAGTAGAAGAATATAGACAGAAGTATTGTCGAATACTGCTTATCTATCTGGATAGATAAGCAGTATTCGACAATACTTCTTACTAAGGTATCATATAAGGTTATAAATGACTTAACCCGCTTAAAGGGTTTTGTATTACGAAGCACAAAGGCCAACATACGATTTACTTTATTGCATATGTGATCATAGTGGGGTCTGAAGGACATTACAGAGTCGAACATTACTCCTAGGTCACGAATTATCTCAATTCTTTCTATGCCAATGCCCTCAATATTGTAGTTGAAGTTCAGTGGTTTTCTGTTTTTTGTAAAAGATATGACCTGATATTTTTTTATGTTTAATGACATTGAGTTGCACACCACTGCACAATCTTATTTATGTCTGATTGTAAGGCTTCACAATCTTGAAGATTAGAGACGGTCCTATATATTTTTATATCATCAGCATAGGCCAAACATTCGCTATTAATTTTACTCAGCAAGTCATTTACAAATAAAAGGAACAATAATGGCCCCAGATTTGAACCCTGTGGCACCCCAGACGATGCAAAAAACGGCACAGACTCATATCCACTAAGTGCCACAACCTGGCTGCGGTTTTCTAAATATGATTTTAGCCATCTATATAGATTTCCGTGTATACCAAGATGTTGGGCTTTGGAAAGTAGTATAAAATGGTCAACCCGATCGAATGCTTTTGAGAAGTCGGTATAAAAAGTATCCACTTGTTTCTTATTATTAAAAGCTTCACATAAATAACTTGTGTAACAAAGAATGTTAGTAGTGGTTGACCTGCCTCTCGTAAACCCATGTTGTCTTGGACTTAATACATGTCTGAGGTGGTTGTAAATATGGTGATAGATAAAACCTTCAAATATTTTAGCAAACCAGCTTAGAATACAGATTGGTCTATAGTTTGTGACGTTGCCCTTATTACCAGATTTGTATATTGGTGTTACTTTAGCGATCTTCCATAGCTCAGGAAATACCCCTTCCTTAAGAGATTTATTAAATATAATTAGTAGCGGAGTTACAAGACTAGTAGCGCAAAGCCGAATGAATATTGGTGGGATGCAATCAGAGCCCCCGTTCTTGGATAGATCCACGTTTTTTAATTTAATCAAAAGATTGCTTTTAGATATAGACAGACTACTTATAGAATAGTTAGAAGTCTGAAAATCGGGAGTGTACGCATTAACTGTTGCAGAGCAGTAGACCGACGAAAAATAGCTCGCAAACAGGTTTACAATTTCATCGCCTGTGTTTCCGACCTTGTCCTGATACTGCATGCGACTGGGGATATCATTAGTAATACGTTTGATCTTTGTATAGCGCCAAAATGCTTTTACATTTAGTTTGAGATCATCCTCGATTCTTTCAATATACTCCCTAAAACATTGAGTCATGACTGCCTTAACACGAGTCCTTAACATCGAATATGTATCGTAGTCTCTCGGATTTTTATAGCGTTTGAACCTGGTATGAGCTTTATTTTTACTAGTAATTAGTTGTATCAGATTTTTTGAGAACCTCAAGAGAGTATGTAGCGCAAATATATTAGTTCTAAAACTGACCAGAATAGCGTCTACTCGAAGAGAATGACATGAACATAGCAGGTATAAACAGTATGTTGTTTGCAGAGTTCAAGTACTTTAGTTAAAAGTAGAGTTAAAGTATTATCTGTAATTAGTTAATTACGTTCTGTAATCTGTAATTAGTTCATACGTTTGTACTCTCTTAAATTCACATTATTAACATTTTCACAGTCTAGTAGATATATAGGGGTGTGACTATCCCCCACATAATTAGCAGTAATAATTAATAATAATCAATTCCCTTAAAATAATATATTTCTTCAAATAAATTACATAATAGCTAGTCGTCAAAATTCCCGTCTTTTCTTTTTAAACATCCCATACCAACAGTACGAGCTTGCGCGCGCCTGCGGGATGAAATGCGCAAAGAAAGTGGCTGTCTGTATGTCACCACAATGCTCCTCCGGGCCGTGACTACGGGCGATAGAAGTTTGGAAAGCGCACCCTTCTGGCACTCGTAGTCTTCTTGATGTCCTCGTTAGTAGATTGGGCTTCATTAGTGGATTAGGTGGAAGCGAAGCTCTTTGGCCTCATATGCTGGTTTGAGCCTGTCGATAGAAACATTCACGTTCTTGGCATTGATATTTAAAGTGAAATACTTCGGTTGTCGCGTAACAACCTTATAGGGTCCAACATAAAGTTGTTCTAGGGTGCCTCTCACACGATCTTGGCGAACGAAGACGCACGTAGATGCTAGAAGATCACGAGGAACGTTGAAAGAACGTAAGTGCCAGCTAAGAGAGCTTTGCCATGTACACGCGAAGACGTGTCGCGTACTGGGTGATGTCAGCTGTCAGGTAGTCGTCCTTTGGGCTTAGAAACTGCCGTGGCAGATGAAGGGGTTCACCATACACAAGTTCGCAGGAGAAGTTTGAAGGTCTTCTTTCCAGGCGCTGCGCATGACGAGAAGAACTAGTGGAAGTGCTTCTGTCCACTGTGAAGCTAGAGCATGGCACATGATTGCAGCCGTGATGTCCTTCAGCGGAAACGCTTCAGACCACCGAGTAAACCTGACAGTGAGGCAGTATCTACAATCATAGGTAATGGCACTACGATGTCGAAATGAATATGGGAAAATCTCAAAGAAGGTGGAAGGAAAGGACGAGAAACTTTGCTCTCCATTTTAAGCATTGCCTAGCTCACTCTCTACAATCTCTGCGAATGCCTGGCCAAACAAACCTTTGTGTGACCAGTCGTGCGTAACTGAACTTCCAGGGTGGTGTAAGTTATGCAGTGTATCAAAGACTTGTTTGCGGAATTCGGGTGAACCGTATGATCTTAAAGTAGGCAGAGAGGTGTCACAATACATATTTACGTTCTTACCAGCAACCTTTTGAAGTCTCAAGGCAGTCACATGATTGAGCAATTCTTGCAGCTCTGGATCACTCTCCTGAGATCGTGCAAGAGATTGAAAATCAATATCGCTGGTTACCTTTTCGATCCGGGATAAAGCATCGGCAACAACGTTGTCAATTGTGAAATAAAGTCAAGATACCGGAACTGTAGAGGCGAACACTTATCTCTGTTAAGGAAGAATGCAAACGTGAGCGGCTTGTGGTCCATAAATACCGTGAAAGTTCTGGCTTCGACCATATGGCGAAAATACTTGATAGCCTCGTACACTGCAAGTAACTCTCGATCATAAGGCCTGTATTTCTTTTGAGAAGTACTCAGCTTATGGGAGTAGAAAGCCAAGGGTTGCCAGCTGCGGAAACTTTATAACCGAGAAAGGTTACTTCCGACTGATCAAACTTACACTTTGAAGTGCTTTATAAAATGCCGTATTGCCTCAGACGTTGGAACAGCTGCCGTAGATGTCTCTTGTGATCTTCTATAGATGATGAAAAGACGAGAATATAATTAATATATCCGTAGCAGAACTCCAAGCCTAACAAAACTTCGTCGATGAATCGTTGGAATGTTTGAGCTGCATTCCTAAAACCAAAAGTCATGTATGGGAACTCAAACAATCCAAAGGGAGTTGTGATGGCAGTTTTGGGAATATCCTGCGGATTGACAGCGATCTGACTGTAAGCCTTCACGAGGTCAACCATAGAAAAAATTGAGCATCCTGAAAGCTGGTAAGAGAAGTCATGTATGTGGCGGATGGGATAGCGATCGGGAATGTGCCTTGCGTTGAGTGCCCTGTAATCCATCCGTCATCCTTCTTCTTAACTAAATGAAGGGCAGAAGACCATGGGTTTTCTGAGCGCCTGGCTGTACGACAAGCCGACATGTCCTCAAACTCCTTTCTAGAGGCTTGAGTATGAGCAGGATCAAGACGTTGTGGCTTGCAGGAAACTGGTTGGCAGGCGTGGTTCTGATATAATGAAGAGTGGTATGTTTTGCTGGAAGGTGCAAACCCGCCGGGCCTAGTAATCTCAGGAAATTCGCCTAGAATCCCGTGAAACTCGGTTTCACCTGTGACTGCTTTGACTGAGACAATGTCGTCAGTTGCTTCCGAATGAAAAGCATAAACATAAACACCATCTATCAAGCGCTGATGTTTACAATCCACGAGTAAGCCGTAGTAGGTCAGGAAATCAATTCCGATGAATGGTCGGGATACATCAGCTACAATAAAGTTCCACGCGAAGTCACGCCGGAGTCCTAAGTTTAGGTGTAGCTTTACTGGACCTTAAGTATTTGACTGTGTTGTTGGCAGCTACCAGCTCGAAAGTGGATTTCCTAAGAGGCGTCTTCAGCGCAGACCGTGGAAAAACACAAAGGTCAGACACTGGTTCTGTTTGTGTGTGTGACACCGTTGTGTTTTTCTCCGAGAAACTGCATTTTACTTACACAGTCGGTTACGGTTGATGTTGGGGTTGAGTTTGGGCAGTCATAGGCCGCTACTTCCGACTGCCCTGAAAGTTGCCCGAAGAGAAAGTGCAAGGATTCTTACATTTCCTCGCATCTGCACCGTAGGTGAAATGATAAAAACAATGCGGGTGATTTGCAGGGGTTGCTTCGGTCGTGAACGGCTGCGTGAGCGATTTTGTATCCTAGGACGAGATCTAGAGCGTAATTTTTCTGAATCTCTCAGTCTATTAGTCAATAAAGCCACTGTAAATTTTGTTCGAAAACACCCGGAATACTATAGTAAAAGAGAAGACAAAAAAATCAAATTCACACTAAGACAAAAATAGACTTAACCTCCCAACTTCCCAACTAACTATGCATTCTACAAGCCCCTTAGTTATGTCTATAAAAATTTATAATAAACTACCAGAAACGATTAAGAACGAAAAAAAAAAAAACATTTTCATTAATAAGTTAAAACTTTTCCTGTTGCGAAAAGGCTATTACAGTGTAAAAGAATATATGGATGAAATAAACAATTTGTGACAATGCATTTAACAACATTATAAAACATTATACCACCTACTTGTTTCAGAAAAAAAAAAACATCACGAGACCATAGTCAAGCCTGACCAAAACCAATTGCAACAATTAACAAAATAAATCACAATAATACTAATAACCTTTATAACAAATAGTACAAACTTAGTGCAATAAATAATTACCAAATATTTAAATAACAAATAAAATAATGGATATACAGATTAAATATATATATATAAATAATATATTATAAATAAATATAGAAATAATCATTCCCCTCTCTCTCTCTTCTATGCTGTGCCCGACAGGGTGCATAACTGATACCTAGCTTAAGTTTTTACCAACTGTAAAATTTACATTATGGCAGCAATAAAGTATTGAGTAATTGGTCAATTCCGCGATCTATTTAGCCACTATTACACGACGATTGTGAAGAGGAAGTGCTTGCAACTTGTGGTGTTGGTGGTGCGATCTCGTAGACTTTATCCGCTAGTTTACCTAGTTTGTCTTTGTCGAGATCCATTTGAGATGCGATTACCGTCTGGATGTTCTGTGTCAATAAAAATTCTACACTGTTTTTCTTTCGATGTTTATTTATCTGTCCTACTCTAATTACTTTTGGCGCTTTCTTTAAAATTTATCCTGATGTTACTGTAGCGCCCCTAATTTAACGCATTTTGTCGGACACTTTATAATATGGATGAGATGATTCTCCTTATCTCTCTACGCTCCAGTCCTCGCGTAGTTTTACCATATCTGTCAATTTTCTTATTGAACAATAGTACTCTGTGCTGTCAGTTATACGCTCTGTGGTTATACGCCTGTAAAACTTACACACACGAACATTTCTGTTTCGATCGATGACGCAGTAACGAGGACACTGTTTGTCTATGGTGTTGAAATTTTTTGATGTTGTGTTTACTCCGACCACAGAGTGTGGTGTAACTAGTCTTAGCAGATTTCTACTATCTAGAAAATTAGTGTTTGCTTAAAAGAGAGAAGTCGCTTTGTTTTGGAATTGCGGTAACTTTTTGAAAACAACGAGATTAGTAATACTTTAGTTTTTTTTTTTAAATTTGCTGATTTTTTTTGACGTAAAAATATATAAATTTACTACATTATTTACAAAGGCACTTAATTAAAAAAATGATGTTTGAAAACTCGCACTATAATAAATTTAAAAAAGTAATAATGTAACTTTTAAAGCAAAAATGTAGGGCATGAAACGTAACTTTCGACTCAAGGGCCGTGGCAACACTGAAAAAATGTAGCAACACTACTACTGCTGCCGTTGGCGTGTTGCGTGTAAGTTGTAGACTTATAAAAAGTGAGTGATTCTGCTTTTAAAGTGTAAGTAATTGTTCTCAATTAAGCAGAGGTAAGTTGTAGTACTTAGTAACCAGTATCGTAATCTCGCAATTAGTTTTTTACGTACATAGTTATGTAGTAGGGACTAGTGTAATTCCTAAAGAAAATAGACGCCATTTCGTTCGGCGTTGTGGCAGCGAATATTTTCTTATCGGGTCTTATTATGTTAGTATAGTATTAATGTACTAAAGAGTTTGTCTTCACATTGTTTGAGTAGTTATTTTATCTATTTAAGATTATATTAAATAAGTGAAGTGTACCAACGTGGCTCCGTGATGCAAACCTAACTTTTACAGTACTTACCTATGCAGCCCCCAAGCATTATTATTGCCTTGATTACCTGAGGTACATGAAAAAAATCGATTTTTTAAATGTCCCATTACTATTATTTCAATTTTCAGTAGATCCTATTCTTTTCAGTCTAAAATTCATCTGTCATCGTCTAGGTTTTACGCTCATGCCACTTCACAATGTCAAAAAGATATCTTCTTGAAAGTAAAATTGGCATTTGCAATAAATTGCTGAAAGTCTTAAATAATATCTCAGTCTAGTATCTAGTCAATATAATATCGATTTCTTAAAGCTTTTTGTAATACTAACAACTCTGGATAACCTGCTTTTTAAATAGGTGCCAACTGTTTGGAATAATGGAAACAGAAAATACCTATTTTATTCCTTTAATTTACGAGGGTATAAATAAATACTATTAATTTATCACATATACAGTGGGCCAAATTTATTGTGAGGTTTGCTATGCAAAAAAATAGTTAAAACTTTCTTAAATTATTAATTTTATCATAAATTAAATGGGTTACAAATTGACTTGTGTTGTTGGGGATAAAAAGAAAACTCTAATGGTTTTATTGCAGAAATGAATAATGTGAAGAATCATGTTTCCCATAAACAATTCATCCTCACCTTAATAAAAGCAAAAGGTGCAAAAGTTGAAATTGTTTATATAATAGTATTGCAGAAGGCTAACCCGTAGGATGAATAGCCACTATTCTTGATACATTCATTCTCCATATTCTTAATACATCATCAAATCAAACAATGGAATAAACTATTGAGAATAAAATACTCTTAAAGAATATTTTTCTTTAATAGGTTATTAGAGATTTCACTTCAGTTACGTGTTAAAAAAAATATTGGCACTTCCCTAGGTGCCATGTAGATTTTAGTGATTCTCAACTACTGCAGCTTGTTACATCTTTACAATCAGGGCCTCAATTCTGCTATTTTATGTTCATGCCAAGCCACTGTCATACCACTGACACGCTATTAAGATGCCATCTAGTGGCTATTGGCCGCGGTATAAATATCAGTAGTCTACAGAAACCCACAATATTTTAATCCTTATATTCTTATGTTGTCAAACAAATCCAGTTATAATGAAGGGTTTACAGTAACCAAGGGACAGGTGCTATTTATTTATTTATTTGAGATAACAAACAATAGTACAATATTGAATAATAGTAAATATTATTATTAGGTACAAATGTACTAATTATACTACCAACTGCATTAACCACTTATACAGAATGTTATAATAAAATGGTGTATGCTATTTGATTAAAATAATAATATAATCAAATAATTTGTTATAGATATACCTAAATTATTAATCACAATTATACATCTAAATTAGACATTAATGTCATGTGTAATAAATACTAATAGTGAGTCAACTCCTTTGCTACACCATTAACACCTTCACTGCTGAATAACACACCTTGTGTTCATAGATATTTTCGCCAGTGCTGAAAACAACGGCATTTTTTCGATCCACAAGTGCTGGCCACACAATTGTTATGTTCCGTACAGCATTGCTAATAACAAACACGTTGTGTCCCCACGGTCAGAAAACCGTTCTCTGAACGTCGGCCGCGTACGAGTGGGTTCTCTGGACGCGGGCGGTAGCCGTGAGTGAATCGTGTTTGTACTCGGAGCAATATGAACGAAAATATATTAATATGGTTTAGAGAAGAAGTGGCATATGAACTTTTGATGTTATCAAAAGAAATGAAAAAAAGAACTAATTGAAAAAGCTAATTCAATATTCTTAAAATCACCGACCCACATTAAATTCTTGTTTGATACATCGAACAAGACAATTATGTCCTATAAAATAATTAACACGTTGAACGCCACACAAAAAGGCAGGTTGTTTCATTGGAGCCATGGGGGACACCGGTGGGCCAAACCACGTTAAGCTGTTGGAGCCACGGGGGTCACCGGTGACCCAAAGGAGGACTTCGATTCAAACCTGTTTTACAGGCCACCAAGCAAAGATATCATACAAAAATGTTAGAGAGTGAGCCGCGTGGCCCTATAGAACAATCTAGTCAGCTTGGTTTTCGTGTGTTGCAAAAGACTTAGAATATATTTACGATTTTCATTACTTTTCTGGGTTATTCTAAACTTCATACACAATAAACTGGTAAAAGGGGTTTTTATAGAAAAAAATAATTTAATCTGAACGTAATATTTTTATTATTTATATTGTATAAATAGTTTTTAAAAGTATAACACTTATTTTGTTATAGGGCTCAAAAAAGAACACCAAGAACTTACATTTTAATAGGTATGACACAAGTTTCTTGAGTCTTATCTTTCTCTCTCTCTTAAACAAAGGTTAAATTATTTATTTATGGCAAAATAAAAAGTACTTACATAAAAAAAACTGCACTAAAATTCAAATAAATCTCCAAAAGATATCTAACAAAATCAGTCTGCTAAATGGCGCCAGTATATGACACAACTATAAATGAAAAAAATATATTTTAGGAGTGAATTTTGTTAAAACATTCCAAACACAACCACGGTTTATTTAGACAACTTGAGCAATAAGTTACCACCTTTTTTGATTTATTTTTGGCCAGTTTTGCACCCATTATCTTAGCATTTTCCTTGTAGCATTGTTGACAGGTTCGTCTAACTACTCTAGCTGTACCATCTTTCTTGGCCAAAATATGCTTTAGTCTCCTCGGCCTTTGTACTGTCACAACTTCTTCGTCTTGGTTGCATAAATTCTTTAAAATTTGTGTTCTAAAGTTTACTATCTGAATGCTCTGCTTTGTTGTGTTCTTGTACAATGTCAAAGCATTTACTATCGATGTATTCAAGAGTAAATCAATTGCTAGTTTTTTGTACCATTTTACGGATTTACGCAAAGGACTAGAGTACGAAGTCATTTGATCCGATAAATCGACGGCACCTTTACCTTTATTGTAATCTACAATTATTTGCGGCTTGGATATCACTTTTCCACGCTTTGTAACATTGTGAAAACGTACAGAGTGCTTAGTAGACAAAACGAGGACATCTCTTTTATCCTTCCATTTCATTATAGTGATACCGTCAGCGCTTTCCTTGGCAATGTGTTCCCCCCTCTTAAGTTTTTTAAATGCAACACTTTTCGGAATATTTTTCCGGTTTTTCCTGAGGGTGCCCACTAAATGTGTCTCACTATCTAACAGCTTTCGGGCCAGGTCAACACTTGTGTACCAATTATCGGTATACAGTGTGTGGCCTTTATTTAAAAGACCACTACACAATTCCATTACCACAGCGGTAGGGGAAGTATTCGCAGTATCATTTTTTCCAGCATAAACATTGACCTTATAGGTATATCCAGGTATAGTACAGAGTTTAAACTCTTTTATACCGTATTTGTGTCGTTTTTGCTTGTTATACTGTCTGAAAATTATTCTTCCCCGAAATGGTACCACACTTTCATCGATACATAAGTCTTCGGCTGGTACGTAATATGTTTGGTAATTACTGTTCAACAATTCTAAAAGGCGATTAACCCGATGTAGTCTATTGCCTGTGTTGGCCTCATCGTCAAAGGAAAAATGAAGCATCTGTAGCAAAAGCTCAAAGCGATTCCGTGACATTACCGTTCGCGGATACGTGTGACCTACTACTTCATCTGTCGACCAATAATCTGCGATTCGCGGTAGCTTTACTATGCCCATGAATATTATTAGACCGAAAAGCTTTTTAATTTCAGCAAGATTAGTTGGCTTCCATGTTCTAAGCCTAGCAGATTTTGAAGCTTCTTTGGACATGGCAATTTTTTGAATAGCAAATTGGTTAGTGCAGTCAACGATTTCTTGAAATATTTCATTAGAAACCATAAGCTCAAAGAAAGCAGCCGGGGATTTGTTAGTCATTCTATTACGGTGTAGTAGCGGAAGACCAGGCATTTCAGTGTAAGGTATAATAGTTCGTTGATTACCTACAGGCGTCATCCACTTTTCCGAAGACGGTGTACTACCTGAAAAATATAAACAAATTGCTCTCAATTTTGATATAGGTACTTTTGATAGTTTAGTTACATTACATAAGTAAACATACACACACAGACACATGAACGCATATACATGCACGCACACACACACGAGCGCGCGCGCACATACACGAGAACACACAAACACGCACGCATTCTCAAACCTTCAGTTTTAAATTACTAGTTTCTAATCTCTGAGGTAATTTTTATTTTTACGCGACTGCTCTAGCCTAAAGCTACCAAGACACCTTCGAACAGTCTCCCAGATAGCAAAATCCGGGTTCGAGGTCAACCTAAGCCATTGCACACAGTTTTTTTTAGTAAAAACTAGCTTTTGCCCGCGGCTTTGCACACATTAAATTTGACGAAACGTGGGTAGGATCGTAAAGAGTAAATCTAGGTTTGTTTTACTTAAAAAGAAATTCATGTGGGTACCTTGTATTAACTTTGTTTTTCAAAGGCCTTTTATCACCCCCTTCTAGGTATTTTTTTGTCACAAAACAGCCTATGTGCTGTCCCAGGACGTAATCTATTTCCTTGCTAAATTTCGTTACGATATTCAGCCGCTAGCTCGTGAAAAGGTAACAAACATACAAACAAACAAACTAAAGACAAACAGAGTTACTTTCGCATTTATAATATTAGTATGGATGTATCTTACTACATACATTGTAACAGCAAAATTATAAATATAATTACTTACCTGAAGTATCAGGAATAACCCTATTTTCATAGTCGCTTTCTTCGGACTCGGAGAGCAAAATACGTCGACGCTTTGTACGTGATGAAACGTTATTCAATTCATCATCCGAACTTAGTTGAAAACTGTTATTTAGGAGGTTTATCTCAACATTTTCAATTTCGGCTAAGTCCTCTTGACTTAAAACAAAGTCTTCAAAGGCATCTACATCCATTATGAACAATAAAAAACTTAATCACGGCAATAATCACAGCAAAAATGAAAACAGTTGACTGTTGAAACAATTCACAGCGCGTGAGCCGGGTACGTGTGCGGGCGACGGTGAGGTGCGCGGGTGGGCCGCAGTGTGACCCCGCGGCCCCCGCGGAACGAAATGCGCATTTTTTTCCAATTAGGCCACGCGGCCCACCCGTGTGCCTTTTTACTAAATCTAAGGATTTAGGTATACACAAGCTGTTGTTTCTAATTAGTAGTACCAAATATCATATTTCTCATCGATTAGTGTAATAAAACAACATTTGAAAAAATATCAGAAATAAGATTTTGCTTTGGCTCCAACTGATTTTCTCTCTTGGCACACATGGTGGGCCACATGGCGTCCAACGTGTTAACAATTCGTCATTTTTACTATCAAAACTCATTTTAAAATCAAGACGTCGCGGCGTGCGCTCGTCGCTATGGTAAAAATATGATACCGACCCACGCGTGCGTCGTGCGACCTTGTCCGCTCCGCCGCCGACGACATTTCAAAGAACTTAGCGCTAGAGGGACGAAGGGCGGGCGTGCGTAGCGCCGATTGGCTCTCCAGTCGCATTACGTCCCCCGCACTGATACGACACACCGCGTGCTTCCAGAGTACAGTCGCGTTCTGAGTTATATTGTTATCGCTGTTAATTTTTGTTGCAATAAATACAATACTCATTTAAAGACAATGCAGGTTGCAGCTGGGAACAGAAGACATAAAAAAAGCGTTTTAAAATTATTTAACGTTACAGTCGTATGTTGTGGTAGGGAAAGGACTGCGTTAATTGTTGTGGTATTTAATGCGACAAATCAAGCATCATTGTTTAGATAATAAACTGCTAAGTTGAAAACTTTCACAAAGTGAATTGCATATAATTATAGTTCAACAAATTCTGTTTTAATTTTTCTACTGATATTGGAACTATAAACTATAATAATGACATACACATACACTCACGCATACATACGCACGCACACCACGCACACGCACAAACAAAGTACATTTTTTTTTAACATACACGTTTATTACTACTACTTAAGATTTAAATGTTAATACACATGGAGACCAATAATACTGGTTCAACCCAGTGCAGGCTCCCATCTCCTACAAGCACAATAACTGTCTGTATATATTCTTATAGCTTTTACCCGCGGCTTCGCTCGCAGTTTTATCTTTCGTAAAAAATATTTTTTTAATAAAAAGTATCATATGTTACTTCTAAAACCTCCAAGAATATGTGTACAAAGTTTCATGATGATCGGTTAAGTAGTTTTCACGTGAAAGGGTAACAAACAAACTTATATTCACATTTATAATGTTATATAGTATGATTACTTACTTACCTTTTGTACCTATTGTTGAGAAAATAAAGAAATTCAAATTTGACGACTCTGGCACGTGAACAAATTTCAGAAGTTACACTCTATAACATTAACTATTTACTAAAGTTAATATTTGCGTGCGCGATAGTACCCATGCGCGGCTATCCCTTCCACGTTCCGCTCAGCGCTAGACTTACGTGCCGCTAGTTATATTTCCATACATAGCATTCGTACGCCACCGGCGGCGGACATGCGTCCGTCGTCGCTCACACGCGACCGACGTTCAGAGAACTCGAGACCTTGCACATATGCCAATGTGCATATATGTAGGTTTCCAAATAGGCGCAACCACAAAACTACAGATTTTATATTTTTAGCTTTTCGTACAGTATCCACATTTTCTTTCCAGTAAAACGTTTAACTCAAAGATTTTTACCTATTTTATTACATATTTCTATTATAATAAATAATGCAAACGAGACAGGACCGTAGATATCTTCTTCTTACCTACAATTTACTTGTAAATACTTAAGTCTATACTAGTCCTCATTGTAGCAGGACAATTTTGTTTGAAAATCGATATAAGCGGATTCGTAATAAACGAATGTACTTTCGTGGTGGCTCATTAAAATCAAATATGTTGTATAATGAGAAGTCGTACTACACTGTATAACTATCCTACAGTTACTAGTACACAGTAACTAGTCTATTAAGGATAATTGTTTAAGTTTAAACTTTGATAATCCAGTTACTTTTCAGGTACTTATGCAAGTTAATTTAGTTATTTTATATCTTGCTAGATGTCGTCTCGTGGTCGGGGTTATGGTGGGAGGGGCACCTACAGCGGTGGTCGTGGAAGTAGTTATAGAGGATCATACAGAGGAGGTAGTCGAGGAGGTTCTTATGAGAGCCGTGGGGGACGAGGGGGTGGGTACTCATCCTATAACAATGACTCCCGATACAATAGCAGCAGTGGAGGCAGATATAATTCTGGCCGTGACCGCATTGATGATTCTTATAAGAAGACGTATCGATCTGTACGTATGGTATAATTATTAATACAAGTGACTGAATTGCGATTTTAATGTAATTTAATTTAATGTTTTTTATTTTTAAGGAATCTGCTAGCTATTCAAACCGTGATTACAGTGGTCGGTCAGGATCACCAGAGAGAAAAAGATTGAGGATGGAGGTCAGTATATAATGATATGGATTATTGAGGTAAAAGGAAATACCAAATCTTATTAGGTAAAGTTGTCATGTTACATTCTGCACTATTTTCTTCAAAATCAACACAGTCCAGAAACTTTAGTTAGTGTAATGGCCGTCACAAATGAATGAGAGATACAAACAATTTGTAAAACACTGATTGATCATAGAAATGTAACATGAATATTCTGACACAAACATATATTTAAGCTATATATTTCAAATGAGGAAAAAAGACTTGGAGAAAAAAGCTTGTGTTGTATACTATGGCAGGCAATAAAACAGCGCTATGTGGTGACGTTAGTAAATTATACACACATATGTATAGCTATATTGTTGTCTTGAAATAAAAGAAAATGAGAAAAGTAGTTGTATAATCGATTTTCGGATTCGATGTCGTAAATGATGCTGACTTATGTTAAACAGTGATGTACTGATTATGATAAAAAGAGTTTGAGATGCATGCAAACATGACACTACTCAAAGAATGAGGATTTTTATATTTTAATGAATTGCCAAAAACTGACGAAAATGTCTAAGCTGGGTATGATACGGCAAATGAGAAAATTAATTTTTAGAATCATTCTACCTCAAGCCTATCATCTCATTTCTATTTGGACCACCTTGTTATATTCTTACAGCATGAATATGATGCAACATTTTTCTATTTAGTTGCCTAATTTTAATATACCAGGCGACTATAATTGAAAGGGAAAGATACGTCTTATCTGTATCGTCAGTAGAAATAACAAAGATGGCGAATTCTGTGTATTAAGAAAAGTAATGATTCGGTCACATTGGATAAAGACAATACCTACCTTGTAAAAAGAGTTTGCTAAAAAAGGCGCCTTAAATTTTCTATAAAGGTGCCTAAGACTAGTGTTTTTACACTTTGACGAGGGCCTTGTAAAGGAGATCTGCCATTTACAGCTTCATTTTTCACACTTTATTCTATTTTATATGTCAAGCGTGCGAACGAACCTATGAGAGTTATGTACAGGGCTCCTCGAGCGATAGACGTAGTCATGACGGTGGCGGCCATTACGGTGGATCTTACGGCGGTCGGCAAGAGAGTTACAACAGCGAAAGAAGATCATTCGCTGGAGAAGATCGCAGACGGTCACCGAATCGAGAGGGCTACCGCAAGCCGAGCGGCATGGGCCCGCCGCGAGAGGTGCGGCCGTCTACGAGACCGCGCGCAGTGCGCCGCTCTTTCCGCGGCCGCACAATGCGCTCACGCGCCTCGTTCAGGGGCGCCCCGCGCTCGCGCGGTACATTTACCTCTAGGCGATACACCGAAAGGTCGCTCGGGTACACCCGTGCGTTCCGATCGATCAAGGGCAGAAGGTAATACGATAAATTGACCCATTGCTTAAATTTTAGTTAACTTTCTGCGAGATGATGTCTTAGATTGAGAAATTCAACAATAAATGTCACGGCTGAGAAGCATTGACATCGTAATGATGATAGCGTATGATAAGATACATCCGAGAGCCTGCAAGCTGAAAGCAATTTAAGAGATACAAAAAGAGGACAGAACTTAGCTCACATCCAGATGTAGAATCAAAGATATTATAATAAAATGAACACAGCTAAAAGTTATATTTATTTAAATGTGATGACACAGTCTGTAGTGGTAATACTTCTGATCTTAAATGAACTTATGCATATACTAATACCTGTTCTATTAACAACGAGCAGTTCTGTGAAGTCAAAAGAAGAGGAGGCTTCTTCAACTGAAGAAGACTGGGATGCTGATGAGAAAGAGGAAGTTATTGAAGAAAAAAAAGAGGTCAAAATTAAATCTCCTAAGGTAAAAGACTTAAAAACACACCCATCTTATTATTTTACATATACAATTAAATGCAATAAATTCCTAAAAAAATATAGCAAGCTGAACCAGAAGTATCAGATAACGAGGGTGGAGAAGGCGGCGAGGACACGGATAAGGAACCGGATGCGGCGTCGGACGTAGCACCGGCCCGACCTCGCCCCTACGTGCACCTGGCCTGCGTGCACTGTAAGGAGAAGTGCGCTACTTTCGCGGTAAGAAAAAGTAACATTTGATTAGTGAACAGTTACCACCAGGTTACTGAGTCTGCTTTTGTCACTTTTGTGCATTAAGAATAAATAAATTTTCTAAAAGGCCAAATATATTTACACATTAAATATTAGGTAATCTTCATAGGGAAATATTGCTATGGAAAACTTCCCGAGTAGGTAATAAATCCCGCGAATAAATTTTTCAAGTAATCAGCACAAAGATAAAAAAAGACCTTTATGGTAAAGTAGGTTGATAAATATTGTACTGATCAACAATGATGAAATATCTAAATCAACAACCAATCATGATTACTCCCATTGTCCCGATTGCCTAAGATTAAATGTACCTGCTAAACAATATTACAAAATAAGAAGGTACAAAACTCTGGTCATGACGATACAGGCGTACGTGAAGCACCTGGTATCGAGCAAACACCGTGCCGCCATGAATTCCGTGGCGCGGCGCCACAAGGTGCAGTTGCTGCGCATGCGTGTGGCTCAGCGCGGTGCTCAGCGCGAGCTGGAGGCCGCGGCCGGCGCACAGCTGGCGCAGCGCACCACATTCTGTCCCGTGTGCCGCCTCAACCACCGCACCACTCGCCATGCGCACAATCTCACCGACACACATCGGGCTATGAAGCGCTTCCTTATGCCTTTTTGCCAGATTTGTCGCCTCACTTTCCGCTCGCCTATGATCTACGAACATCATATTTGCTCCGTGGAGCATCTGAAGGTTAGCTTTCTCTACCTACAACGGTCCGATACGAATTGTATGCCGAATATTCATGTCGTAACGTTGTGTTCAAATTTATGTGCAGAGAAAAGCTACGCAGTCCGCCCGACGTGTGAGTCCCAAAGCGGAGGCTAGCGGTGACGAGGGCATGGATGTTGACTTGGATAATTTTATGACTCTAGATTCTGTAGGAGATGTGGATGGTGAGAAAATATGTCTTGTATTAACATTAATATTTACAAATCTAATTTGGGACCTGTGATGAAACAGGCGGGTTTGACGTTTTTGTCTTTTTCTAGGGTATGTCTAGTTCTGAATACGACCACTTCTTGTAAAGACTATTTCTTTAGACGTAAAATGCTAGATTTAACCACTTCTTTATTTGACTACCTCAAGTACAGTGTGCAAGAAATAAGAAAACTGATTTCTCACGTTGCTTATAATAATATTGTAATAAATAAAAAAAAAGAATTTACATTTACAATAAATAAAAAAGGTCAGGAAACACTACTACTAGTGAAAAATTTTAATAGAATGTCTCAATGGAGGTGTGTGCAGCGCAACGAATGCTCTTACATTAAACAAAGATAGAACCATAGTTCTCACGAGAGGCGAAGCACACATCTTTCTCGCACAGTATAGAAAATAAAATACTACTAGCGATTAATGCATGTAAAGAGAAGGTTACCAAAACTTTTAAGACTGTTCAAAAAATTAATGAAAAGCACTTCAAAAACTGAAGGGAACCGGTTGAAGTAACGAACTTCAGTATGTGCCGACGTCAAATCTGTTGAACCTAAAGTTGATCGAAGAAGTTAATGAGTTAGAAGGTTTAGGAAAAAGCTTTTTCATTTGTGCAGGTGGAGAAAAATAAAAAGTAAATTTTTTTGTTCAACAATATCTAGAAAGCTATTAAGAAGACCAATGGATTTTTTATTGGTGATGGAACATTTCGTTGTGTTCCACGTCAATTTCATCAGTTATATACTTTACCTTTGGACTTATTTTCAAATGAAACTACTTACCACAAATGTCATCTCTGTCGTATATTGCTTTACTTCCAAATAAAAGTGAGCAGACTTACGTTCGTATATTCGCTTTGAGAAAAGAAAAGCTGGGTATAGATTTTAACAATTTTAAATGTGACTATGAAATTGCCACAATCAATCCCGCACAGACTATATGCCACAACTGTAAAGTTGTTTTTATCATTATAAGAGAAATATTTGAAAAAAGCCAAAACTTTGAAATTGACTGACTCCGGGGAAGAACGTAGCTATCACATACTCGTATTTGGGAGGCATGGTTTTCTTTAACCAATTTAATGCCACATACGAGTGAAATAACGTCATTTAAAATATTTATGGAAAAGAAATGATTATTATTGAGTTGCAGCGTCACCGCCACCGGATAACAAATTCAGCTGAAAGTTGGCACAAACTACTTAATTCAAAAATACCACGAAAACATGTATTCTTTGCTTTTATAGACTACCTAAAAAAAGAAGCCAAACATATGATTTTAAAATAAAAAGAAGTTTATATGTATAGCACTGAAAAGAAATAGAAAAATAAAGGATGACTGCACGGATGGCGTAGTGGTTTAAGCGGTCGCCACGCCGCTTTCTTCTACGCCGAGTGTTGTGGGTTCAAACCCCACAACACTCGGCGGGGACGACACTTTGTGTGATCCACAAATTGTTGATTTTTATTTATACAAACTATAAGCCTTAAAAGACTTTAATGGCGTTATAAGTTACAAGAAATTAATTTTTAAAAGCAGTTACCTATTATTTCTTTTTTGATTTGTCGATAATTGATAAGTTTCACTATGTTTTTTTTGTTTCATTTAACTTAAAACTAGCTTTTAAAATAAGATTTGACTATTAAAAATGTATAGTTTATTTTTTATTTCTGTACACATGTACATGTGGTCAAATCCAGAAATGGACGTCCAAAGAAATAGTCTTTACATGAAGTAGTCGAATCCAGAACAAGAAAATGACTAACAAAGAAGTGGTCTCTCAAAGTCAAACCCATACAAGTCAAACAAATCATACTTGTGTAACTGTACAATGTAACAATGTTTAATTTTAGATTTTTATAATTAAATTTGTTCATTAAAAAAGTCTGTAATAATAATAAAAAAAATGTTTTTCTAGAAGTAGAAGATGATGATTCAGGTGGCGAAAAGAAGGATGAGGCTCCACCAAAAAAAGCTAAAGTAGAGATAAACATAGGCAGTGAACATATCAAAAAGATGGAGGTAAAACAAATTACTAGTACTTCTGCCAGTATGAAAATTATATTGAGTTATCGAAAACATATTTTTTATTTTTACCGGAAACAGGTTTGGTGGTGTGAGCTATGCCATGTATACTTGCCCCGAGTAGAAGCAGGTGGTACTGAGGAAGCAGAGGCGCTGCGACGCCATTGTCGCCTACGTATTCACCTTGGTCGCTATGTACAGCATCGCGACACTCGCACTCTCCGTAAACACGCTGAACGAATTCATCGCCAACTACACCAACACAAAGGCGAGTTGCCATACTGTTATTTATTCTAGCAAAGGTTTACTTGGGCATAGCTTTTTAGGTACAGAATATGTTAAGAATAGTAATTTAATAGTTGTTTCATTGTTTCAGAAGAAGAAAAAGATGCAGCTAGCACTGAAGGTGTTAAAGTTAAAATAGAAAACAGTGAGTCCGCTGAAGAAAATAAAAAGAAACTTGATAATGGTGAAAACTCTATTACTTCTGGTTCGTATAGGTTCACACGGAAATAAATTTGATTTGTCAAATAATATATTCATTATTCTATTAATTTGCATTTTAGGTAGTGAAGATAAATTATGGGCAGATGTTGATAAAGACATTGGAGAGCTACTGCGTGAAGTAGATCCACAAGGCAATGAGGGCAGTGACGATGAAGAAGATCTGGGCAGGTATGTCCTGAATTAGAGTTATCATTCAAATGCATCATTTAGAATCTACAGTATCAAATTGTATGTGCCAATAACTCCTAACCTGACCCTTTCAGGCAAGCTCACTTTTTTAGTTTTTTTTTTTCATTTAAGACATTATTTGCATCTTTCATAATATCTTCAAGGTTTAATGTTCCAACAGCATTCAAAACAAATGTGGAAACAACACTACCAACAAATACGTAATTTTTTATTACGCTTTACTGTAACTAAATACTTGTACACTTATAAATGCATTAATATTAGTATGAAAAAATATATTATATTACTTTCTATAATTTCAAATAAGTTTTATTTATAGTTTGGGTAAATTTTTGATTAGGAAATATTGGCACAACACTGTCGATATCTAAAAATACTGAATAGGAGCCGCAATGAACGTTTTTGCGTTTAAATTATTTTAGACGCAGATATCTAGGTTAGTAACTGACTAAGTATAAGTGCGAAAAAAAAGCATAAGAAACCAAAGTATATACAACACCCAGCCTTCTATGTGCCATCATGAAACATTGCTAAGTTATTATGGTATTTTTCATTCAGATACGACAAATTTAGGAAGAGTGACAAAAAAGCCAAAAATGGTGAAACTGAGGAAAACCCTACTGAAGCTACAGATGCTGTTGATGAAAAGAACAACACTGAAATTAACACAACTGCTTAAGAAATTACAAATTAAATTGTAACTGTAGACATTTCTCTAGTATACTTTGCAATATGTTATGAATTTGATTCGTGTGACATAAACTTAATAAATGTGTATTACTAAAATATTATTTTGTTTTTTTTTCATACTTGGACATTATTTTAACAAATGGTGGATGCTTGCATCATGGTGGTCAATCCTTAAAAATTCAGATTTATTTCTATAGTCCGTGTAGCTTGATACCCCGCTGACAGAAACAGATTCGACAACATAACTTTCTTCTATAAATTCTATATGGTCCATTCAATATGTTCAAATATGTTATGGTACTGCAAAACAAATTGAGCTAATAACACATTTTAGTAATGTGATAGGTATGTGCCTACGGCACTTCAGTATTGTATTGACGGCTATATTAAACAGACGTGTCATTGTATATTGAGAGTTTTATTACAATACTCGACACCAAATAAAGACTATACATACAAAACAGTACAGTGGTGACCCCGATAACTAATACACCTACGCCTTCAGTATAAAGTTCGTGCATATATTTTTTTCTGAAAAAATGACAACGGGTCAGCAACCATCGAGCGAAGGGGAGGTAGCGGTTGTTACAGTGTCTTCTAGAATTCCCGAGTTTTGGTGCGACCAACCACGCCTTTGGTATGTGCAGTGTGAAGCCATACTGGGACCACAGAAGCTCAGCGACGAGGCCAGATATAATTTATAGTCATGATTATAGTCTTTATTTGGTGTCGAGTATTGTAATAAAACTCTCAATATACAATGACACGTCTGTTTAATATAGCCGTCAATACAATACTGAAGTGCCGTAGGCACAGTACTTCCCCCTAATAAAAAAAATTGGTTACAAACATAACTTAAAAATATAAGTGTTATTTTTTAATTTAGTTACACATAAGTTTAAAATACGTCTAATATTCCGATTACACATTGTATCAACACTGTCCAAGTTCATGCAATTGTTTATTAAGGTCATTATCAGCACTTATTTAGACACGTCACAACACTATATAATCACACCCATTGTTCTCGACAATCAATGATGATATTTAGTATATTATGTGTTTATGTGGCGAAGCGCACGACAGGTTTGATAGTTCGGCCGAAACTCGACACTCTCGGCTCATTGTTTACATTATAACTTGCCATATTTGGTCTCTTCGAGCATGTCTCGCTGTTGTTAAGTGCAAAGGCTGGCTTCAATCGATCTATACTAACTATTTTCTCCGTATCTTGTTGCATAATTTTATAAAAATTTTCCGTTTTGCTGATAATTTTGAACGGCCCCATGTAGGGTTGTGTTAAAGGTTTTGTGACCTTATCAACACGAACAAATACATGAGTGCAGTCTTTAAGATCGTGATGGACGAATATTTTTCCTTGATGGTTCGCCTTTTTGGGCACTGCTACTAAATCTGATATCTTACTACGTAATTCTTGCAAAAATAAATTGTTGTCAGAAGTTTCCCGCTTTATAGGCTCGAAGAAATCCCCAGGCAACCTTAAAGGTTCTCCAAACACCATCTCCGCCGCACTAATCTGCGTGTCGTCTCTCATACTAGCTCTTAATCCCAGAAGAACAGATGGTAATTCTGATACCCAATGTTCCGTGTTTCCTCGGCACATAAGTGCGGTTTTAAGCGAGCGATGCCATCTTTCCACAAGACCATTCGATTGCGGGTGATAAGCAGTGGTCCTAATCTTATTAATACCCATTCTTCTAGTTAATTGGAAAAACAAATTAGACAAAAAGTTAGATCCTTGATCGGTTGTCAAGTATAAAGGGGTTCCAAATCTCGCAATCCATCCGGTGTAAATAATATCCGCTATAGTTTGGGCGGTTATATCCTTTACAGGAATGGCTTCAGGCCACCCGGTGTTCCTATCTATCATTGTTACAATATACCTATAACCGCTGCTATAAGTTAAATACTCATACGCTACCGTAACTAGTACGGTAGTGACTAAATCAAACTAATTAGAAATAATTTAGAATATTTTTGACTCTTTTTAAAAGATTTTTGCTACACCAAAATAAATAGAATATAGTTACGTTATTTTCCTACAGAAAAATACTAAAACAATATATTGCTTAGTGTGATGAGAAAAAGACATTGTAGGTTGATAACGGCACATAAATAGACATACATCGATATTTTTAAAATGTCGATACGTCGTCGTCGCACTTACTAGTCTTGTCGTTTGACACTTACACGCATGACTTACATACCATTTCTCACAAGGCAATTGTAGTTTGTTTGGTTGTTTTACTTTTGTTTAGTATTAAACTCTCATATTTGTTTATTTTAATTTTAATTTCATATAGTGCTACTCCAATATGCATGATGTGATGCCTTAAAATGTTGTGCATTAATCTCAATAAAATAGATGCATGCTTTTAGTAAATAATGTCACAACTACTGACTGTTGAAAAACTAAATAAATAAATAAATGCTCCCGCCTTGTGTAAATGTGTATCGTAGTACATTTATTCAAATTATTATTAATAATTTATTTATTTATAGCTAGTATTAGGTACACCTCATATGTAAGCGAAGATTTTTTTCTATTGTTTGCCAATACATGCCAAGCAAATACCCTTCCTTCCTTCACCCATTTAGAGAGTCGGCTAACACTTTCTACAGCAAAATAGGGTTGCTTATAAGTAATAATAATGATAAATAATATTTTCGAATATATGACACACAACGCCATCTAGTTTCAAACAAAACATTGACAATATTTTAGTACTTAACCTCGAAACATTCAAAATCCAATATCTTTTTTCCTAGACTTCTTTCGCTAGTAATTTTTTTATGAGAATGTTCAAGAATAAATTCTCAAGGGTTATAGGCATTTTTGATATTTAAACGCTGTCATTTCACTTCAAATAAAATTATGTATGGGGACCTGCCAGTGTCCTTTCAATATTACTTACTGACGTTTATAATTACTATGCTCAAAATACCGAGTTTCAATAGATTGAATAACAAAAGTTCGACTAAGTGATAAATTCGAAACATCAAAAATTCGAATTCTTTCTATTTTCTTTCGAATAAAAATATTTACTTTCACTGGTCACAGTACTAAACTTTTTTTTTTTTTTTTAACGTGTGGAAATCCCCTCGGACCATCACCCCACCGGGGTTTGCGGCGGGGTGGTGTGTCGGACTCGAACCGACTAAAACCACACGGTGTGCCCTCTTTGCGCTTCCAGTTTAGGAGGGGTCCAGGTAGTTATCGCCTTCTGGACCCCTCCTAGCGCCGGCCCGCTCCTATTGCGGGCCCCGTCTCAAAATTTTTTCCTCTCTTTAGGCGACGTCCGGCACACGCGGACGCCGCCCCCTCGCGGCTGGCCAAACTAATGCGGGTGGAGGGGAAACCCACCCCGTCCACCCGCGGCCACACTCAGGGCGGCATGAGGCGCAGGTAAGCGCGCCTCCGCCGCACGGTTCGCCGGCGGCGGATCAGGTCCGAGTGGAGGTCGTCCTCCCGGGCCTTCTCCGCCGCCTCCTTCTGCGAGATTACCTCCTCGCAGAAGGTTGCGACCGCGGTAAAACAACTGTCGCTACCGGCCATGGAGCGAATTACGGCCGGTAGCGAGAGATCTGCTCCGATGACTGCAGTATGGGCCCGGCGCTGCGTCGCCCATGCGGGGCAGACCGCCAGCGTGTGCTGGGCCGAGTCCTCACTGCAGTCGCAGTGGTGGCAGGCGGGACTCAGTTCCCTCCTAGCGACCGAGTGCAGGTACCTTCCGAAGCAACCGTGCCCGGAAAGCACCTGCGTCAGCCGGAAGGAAAGGGTCCCGTGCTGCCGCCCTGCCCACTCGGCGATGACTGGCTGGAGAGCCTCCACGGCGGCGAAGCCAGCGCGTGGAGTCTCCAGCCGGAACGACCATCTGACCATGGTGGCTCGGCGAGCGGCTTCGCACCACTCGCGCACGTCCTCGGGCGGAAGGCGAAATCCGCTCTCCGCCCGGAAGTCAGCCACTCGTCGATAAACTTCGGCGAGCACTTCCGCCTCCAAATCCCACGGGGGTGTTCCGGCCAAGGCGCAAGCCGCCTCGGTGGACACCGTGCGGTATCCGCGTATGGCTCTGACCGCCAATATCCTCTGGGGGCGCCAGAGGCGCGCCCTATTCGGGGCGGTCAGAGCCGCCACCCACACCGGTGCACCATAAAGCGCCATGGACCGGATAACCCCCGCGTACAGCCGCCTCGTGGGAACACTGGCCCCGCCCAAATTGGGCAAAAGTCGCCCTAGGGCGGAGGCAGTGTCCACCAGCTTCGGACCAAGCTGTCGGAAGTGCTCGTCGAAGAGCCACCTACCGTCTAGGACCAGACCCAGGTACCTCATCTGGGCCCGGACCGGTACGAGGACCGAGCCGACCTCGATTGAGGCGCCGGCGGGTGGTCCACGACGGGGCCCATGAAATAATAGGGCCTCCGTCTTATCCAGGGCCACCCGTAATCCCAACGCCTCAATGCGTCCGACCACCTGGGAAACTCCCGTGGCGGCCAGGCGCGCCGCCTCCTGGAAGTTAGCCCCCCGGGCCGTGAGTAAGGTGTCATCCGCGTAGCAGATTACACCCAGCCCGCGGGGGAGACGCCCTCGTAGGGCCCAGTCGTACCCGATGTTCCACAGGAGAGGTCCTAGGACAGACCCCTGCGGAACACCGCACGACATGGCCCTGCGTCTCAAGTCACAGTACTAACCTAACCTAACCCAAAGAATTCAATAACAGTAGATGGAGCCCGACGCAGGTATATACACTATGTGATGAAACATATCCCAAAAAATGAAATAACAGGTAACACGGTCAGTATACGTCGGTTAAAATAATAAAAAAAAAATAGTACGAAAATACAGAAATGCAAATTTAGAAAAAAAAAATACAATAAAATAATTGCCGACTTAGAACACCATTGATAACATGAGTCGGTGAACTGTACACGGCAGCGTCGCAATGTCGTCGACATCAAAGCGACGCC